CAAATATACATATGTATGTGCACAATATTTTAATTAGTACATGTAAATAAGCGAGATTCGTTGTTCAACGCTTACAAATAACACGACAACCAATAAGTCTGGTCAAATAAATGAAATCAGAGTGTATCTACGGATTATACACAAATTAGAAAAGATATTCGTATTCTATGAAAGTGTATTTCATTTCACACCAAACGCTTTAAAAATCTGATAAAAAGTTTGAAATTGAATGGTATTGATTAGTAACCGGTACTTATTATAGAAAACACGTAATAAATATTGTAGTATGACGGAATACAAGCCATTCTTCTTTATATTTGGGAAAGTCAGTAATGGCAATTGTGTACATACATGCACTCTTAATAAAAGTTGGTAGAACTTACTTAAAGGAGGACGCCACAATATGTAATTGTGCCAGGTTGGTCCAACCTTGGAAACATAAAATGTTACACTCTTGGTAATTGGGTTACGATTATACATACATGTAACCAACAAGTAAACGTATACGAATTACTCCACCGCAGAGGTTATGAATTTGTCACCAACTGGTTAAAAATTTATTAACTCTGGTGAAAATTTAATACCAGGTCAATGCAGCTTTATAATTAGTGGGTGACAATTGTACCCATTCGATGACAAATTTATAACCACGGCGGTAGAGTCACATACGTTTACTTTTTGGTTATAATCGTAACCCAATTTCTAAGCGTGTACCCAAGTATTGCGTCACCCTCTATTTTATACATATAACTAAATTCGGCACAACTTTATTTAGGATGTGCGATCCTGTTGCCAATAACATTTATTTAATCACCTCTTGGTAATACTACATATATTACCGAATTGTCTGGAGAGTGTATGTATAGCATGGTAAGTATGGAACTCTACTTCTGCAAATAAACTATGACATAACTGTCAACACCTGTTCACTCTCTGAATTTGCATAACTGGTTATATACCCAACGTTTAATTTCCAGATTCAAGGTGTACAAAAATGCAGAAAACATAAAAAAATTAGTATTTATTGATTCCATTGTTTTGCTTCTTTCCCGTCTAAATCTGTGACATAACCTCGTCAACATTTGCGAACTTACAGAGATGAGAAAAACACATGCAATACAGAATATGAAATGTAAAGGGTTCGGATTTATTTTCTCCCCACTTTTTTCAGCCAAAAAAGGTAAGCCAATTTCTCAAAACGGGGACACGCAGGGAATCAAATTTTTTTGTCAATGTGACCTTAGTATTTGGTCTTTCCATCACCCACGTTAACCGTGTCCACAGCCCTTTACTTGAAGCTAAGTGCTCATTTTTCCAAAGTGGTTTTTAGGATGCGATTGCGCTTTGCTTGAACTTTTATTGTTACTTCGCTTGTTATGCGTGGTTTTGGATCTTTATGCATATCATACTTAAGTATGGGTCATAGGTTCTCGAAAACCCCCACATCCGGATTTTTATCGGACCACAGCCCCTTGCTCCAAACCGTTTTACCCCGCCCTTTACAAAGCGGCATGGTAGTTTTTTTCATGTGAGTTGCACCACCATCTTGCATGAAAAGTACTGACTAACATATGGAATAAATTCCTTGTTTATCATGCCATCAAAGCCTTTAGGTTGCATTTTCGCTATAAAATTATTTGCATTCATATGTGCCATATTTGTATAATACGGAGGGTTTTCACGCCAGACGCAAAAAACTACCGGCTACCATAACTTTCGATACACATTTCGTCGCACTAATTCTAAAAAGACGTAAGTGCATTCGATGCTTAATTTTAAAACCACGTAATTGCACTCGATGTTTAATTTTAAAACCACTTAAGTGCAGTCTATGCTCAATTTTAAAAAGACGTAAGTGCACAAAAAAAACTAGTAAAAAGACGTAAGTGCACTTTTAAAATTATAAAGAGTAATTACTTGTTCAAAATTGTCCTAACAAGGGAAATTTGAATTTATTGGCCCCCACCGGCAAGTAATGAAAGAAAATTCAAAATTTAAAAACCACACCCTCAGGGGGTGTGGTTCTCGGCACCTAACGTAAGGTGAATTAAATCATAACGTATTTCTTTCCTCACCCGGTGACGCAATTCCTGACGATTATTAAAAATTTAAAAACCACACCCTTCGTGGGTGTGGTTATCGACGCCTAATTTGCAATAAATAAAACATGGCATGCAATATATCCTTTTTCTCATCTCGATGATCCATATTCGACGGTGCATTCAAAATTTTAAAACCAAAACATTCAGGGGGTGTGGTTCTTCAAGCCAAAATTGCATTTTGACTTGGTTACACCCCGAAATTTTACAAAATTGAATTTTGAGTTGATTACACCCCCAAAGTTTTAAAAATTGAATTTTTACTTGGTTACACCCCCAACGTTTCCAAAATTGAATTTTATATTGGTTACACCCCCAAAGTTTCCAAAATTGAATTTTAAGTTGGTTACACCCCTAAAGTTTCAAAAATTGAATTTTTACTTGGTTACACCCCCAACGTTTGCAAAATTGAATTTTTACTTGGTTACTCCCCCAAAGTTTCAAAAATTGAATTTTTACTTGGTTACACCCCTAAAGTTTCCAAAATTGAATTTTAAGTTAGTGACACCCCCAAAGTTTCCAAAATTGTTACACCCCCAAAGTTACCAAAATTGAATTTTTACTAGGTTACACCTCCAAAGTTTACAAAATTGAATTTTGACTTGTTTACACCCCTAAAGTTTTCCCAAGTCAAAATTCAATTTTGTAAACTTTGGAGGTGTAACCAACTTAAAATTCAATTTTGTAAAATTTGGGGGTCTAACCAAGTAAAAATTCAATTATGGAAACTTTGGGGGTGTAACCAAGTCAAAATTCAATTTTGGTAACGTTGGGGATGGAACCAAGTAAAAATTCAATTTTGGAAACTTTAGGGGTGTAACCAACTTAAAATTCAATTTTGGAAACTTTGGGCGTGTAACCAAATTAAAATTCAATTTTTGAAACTTTGGGGGAGTAACCAAGTAAAAATTCAATTTTGGAAACGTTGGGGGTGTAACCAAGTAAAAATGCAATTTTGGCTTGAAGAACCACACCCCCTGAATGTTTTGGTTTTAAAATTTTGAATGTACCGTCGAATATGGATCATCGAGATGAGAAAAAGGATATATTTCATGCCATGTTTTATTTATTGCAAATTAGGCGTCGATAACCACACCCACGAAGGGTGTGGTTTTTAAATTTTTAATAATCTTCAGGAATTGCGTCACCGGGTGAGGAAAGAAATACGTTATGATTTAATTCACCTTACGTTAGGTGACGAGAACCACACCCCCTGAGGGTGTGGTTTTTAAATTTTGAATTTTCTTTCATTACTTGCCTGCGGGGGCCAATAAGTTCAAATTTCCCTTGATAGGACAATTTTGAACAAGTAATTACTCTTTATAATTTTAAAAGTGCACTTACGTCTTTTTACTAGTTTTTTTTGTGCACTTACGTCTTTTTAAAATTGAGCATCGACTGCACTTACGTGGTTTTAAAATTAAACATCGAGTGCACTTACGTGGTTTTAAAATTTAGCATCGAATGCACTTACGTCTTTTTAGAATTAGTGCGACGATTTGGAAACACTCATGGGTGGTACAGGCGACTTTTTTTCGGTTTTGTATACCACATGTTGTAGGTTCAATTCTGGATATGGTTCATTTGAGAATCCATTAGTCCTGAAGATATGATGCCATAGTTCTTGACCTTGCTTTCTTTCACCGAAATCGCCACTTTTTTGGAATATTTCCCCAGATTTAAGACTGACATCAATGTTCCTATGATATGTGAATGTTTCCTGGGTTATTCTATGAGCAATGTAACTCCAATTCGTCGATTTTGTAAACTTTTTAATTGTGGCATGGTAAATTTACATGTTTATAATTTTTAGTCGTTTTGAGTCAATTAACTTTTTTCAACAATTAAGTACATAACTTTCGGTTCTTCGTGAATCTTGAGCTGAATTGTTGTGGTTGTAGTAGCTGACATCTTACTACATCGCTTAGACTGCTTTTTGTATATGAAAAAATTTCTGCTCGTCCGTAGTCATACAGTTTTTCGGATGCATCATAATTTTTCCGATTTTTTAAAAATGTTTAATTGCTGCACAACTAAACTTTTTATCAAGACTCTATGAAGGTCATGGTCGGCCTATGGTATTGGACTACTCATGGTAAAATTTTTAAAAATAAGCATTAACAGGTTCAGAAATAGCAGCTGAATTTGTGTCCGCGCGAGTAGTCAAAACTTACTGGGGAGAAAATAAATACGAACCCTTTATATATAGAATATAAGATGCCCCGAGTTTAGAAGTACGAAATGAAATATTAACGTATTTTACTCATGTTTTAGTTCTTTTAAGTTCAAAATACGTAATATTAAAAATACCGATACCATTGTAAAAAAATGCATTTGAATTACAAATAGTATTATTTCTAAATAGTATTTCTCCCAGCTCTTCTAACCATTTATGAATTAATATGTGAACGCTCACTTTATAAGATCGTTATCGTCGTTACTCCGTCCGTCCATTTCTAGGTCAGGTAACTAATAAACGCAAAGACGAGTACATACGTATACGTGAAACCTTGGGCGTAACCTCATAACGCCAAGTGGTAGAGTTGATTCGAATTTACGCGTTACAGGTCACACACTTGATGGTCAAACAGGTCTCGTGAGTACCAAATTGCATATGCATCGGAATGTAGCTCCGAATTAGTGATAACCTTTATTTCGACCAGAAATGTTACAAAAAGAGGTGAACCAAACCCTTAATCAGCCAAACGGTGTCGACATAAATATGCATCAGACTTATCCAATTACTTATTTCACTACTTTGTTACATGCGTTGTAACCGTTTATTAATTAACAATTAATTACGCATTACCTGGAAATCATTAATGCAGGTAATGATTTAATTATCCCATTCGTATAAATTACACATGTACCACATTCATAATCGCAAATTGTTCAGTTTTTGCCAGCACCTCTATTGAAGGGGCACGGATAAATTGTTCGCCAATTTATTTCGTAAATTATCACAATGATGCGAATCGCATCTATAAAAATTTGGCAAACTTTTGCTGTTCTCAATTGGCAACTTTTTCTTCCTTGTGTCTTGTGCATCGAAATAATTGTTGAGCCTCCTCCGCCCTTCGCAGAAACGAGGAATGGATGGGTTGAAGGGTACATTCAAGAAACGGTGGGAGGACATCCCATAGTTGCGTTTGAAGGGATCAAATACGCCGAAGGGCCAACTGGGCAGCTTCGATTCAGGGTTAGAAAATTATTCAAAAATTAAAATAATAAAGATAACGTGGTAATAAACTGTAACCATTCGGAACCGCTATATAAATATTTTGTACATACACATCCTACCAATAATTTTATCATTTCTCCAGGACGTTTCAAAAGGGTAGCATTACTTTTAAGAGTGTATATACATAGGTATATACATATGTAAAAATATGTATTACTTACCTTGGTTACAATTTGTGACAAAATGTAGCAATAATTTCTGTGAAATTTAAATTTATTGCCCAGTACTCGTTGCAAAAATTTATTATGTCGTACAGAAACGTAAATTTTGCGTAAAGTAAAAATTGCTTTTATTTGGAGCCAAATTTTTACTTAATCGGTATAGCGTCATAAATATTTATGTAAAGTAACGATTTGTTACTAAACAGGTTATGATTATGAGAGTGCTTATTTACAGCTAGTAAACTAATTTTTTTAAGGACCCTGTTCCAGTTAAACCCTGGACCGGAATTTTCGAAGCTGTTAAAAAATCTCCGGCATGCTTACAACTTGACATGTCTAAATTCATGTATCTTCATGGAACCGAAGATTGTCTATTTCTTAATGTTTATACTCCAGTGGTAATGTAAATACTTATATTTAAAACGAATTTTAGTTTTTGGTACAATTAGCAGTTTTTAAATATTTTTTATAGTTCGGTGATGCGATTCCTCCTGATCCTGTAAAGAAAACAGGAAGGGAGAGTAAATTACCAGTCTTAATTTATATTCATGGAGGTAAGATATATTTTTCAGGTAAATTATTTAGCATATCGTCCTACCTAATGTCAAAATGATCTAAGTGCCGTCACACCTTAATTCTAAAATGAGCTAACTGCACGAGGGCAGGTTTCTATGTATCACGCGTCGCACCTTAATTCTATTATGAGCTAAGTACAAATTGAGTGTAGTAACATAGCTCTTTCTGAAATTAAGCGACACCTACAGGTCGCACTTTTTTGACATGAATACCACGTAAATTAAGTAAAGTTAACTTTTATAGGTGGCTACATTTACGGTCGAAGTTCTGAAATCGGTGCTGCTTACTTGCTCAATAAGGAAAACGTAGTCCTAGTTACGATTAATTATCGTGTCGGTGTGTTAGGTAACTAACTTCTAAATAACTCATTTAAATTTTATCTTAAAACTTGCCACACAAATTTAAAAATAATTCAGGATTCTTCAGCACTGGAGACGATGAAGCATCTGGCAATTGGGGAATGAAAGATCAAGCTCTTGCAATAAAATGGGTGGTCGAAAATATTGAAAACTTTGGGGGCGACCCGAAACGAATCACGCTCGTCGGGAACAGTGCGGGAGCAGCAAGTGTTGGTACGAAAGTTATAAATATGCTTCGTTTTCCCCATAACCAACTATGCAATTTTCGTATCACAACTTAGAAAATGTGCAAAAATATTTTTATTATTTTTAAAATGGACCAAATTGTGGCTCAGGTAAATATATAACCCGGGTAAAACTTTGAACGAACTTTCTGCAGAATTTGTACCAGTTTTCTACAGAAAACGTTGTCATGAGCGATTTTGCGGCAAACTATTATGTATGAATAATTAATTATGCACATGCGGTTCTGCAAAACAAAATTCATACAAATCTTCTGCAGAATTATGTTAAAATTATTATTTAGAATTTTTACAGTATGCATGAAGCTTTTGTCTATTACTGCAGAATTTGAGACCGGATTTCGGGAACTAATTTCCGCAATTTTTGTCACTGCATTAGCTTTTACAAAGTGAAACCCTGCTTGTATTTTTAAATACTTTTAAATTTACCACGCCTTCTTTTACAGGACTGCACATGGTCTCGCCACAAAGCAAAGACTTATTTCAGCAAGCAATTCTCGAATCCGGATCCCCATTTGCGAATTGGGCCGTGCAAAACGAGACGTACTCGAGTTCCATGGTCGTCGCAAGAGAAATGGGTTGTCATAAAAGGGGGAATTCTGCCGCCATTGTTTCCTGTCTTCGGGCAAAAGATGCCGATTGGGTGGTCGGCAGGTCGATCAAGGCGTGGAGGATGCTTCTCTTGTCGAGACTTCCGTTCGGACCGGTGGTCGAGTCGGCATGGACAAAATCCCCCTTTCTCACTGAGGCACCGGAAGTGTCGTACCGACACGGGAGAGTTAGTCGCGTTCCGATGATTGTCGGATTAAATAAGGATGAAGGTTCCGTTTTCGCGGCGGGTGAGTATTTCAAATTGGAATTTGTACATTTATTTTAAATTCTGCTGAAACCCGTCGTCTAAATCCGAATTTGGCTAGTTTTGGACACCGAGTTTTGGAAGTATAAAATGTTCGGAAATGTCAAAAATAGAAAACAGGACAAAAAGTTCTCCATTTTTGAATCTTCCAATAATCCGTTGACGTAATTACATGTATCTGATTTCCTATAAATTTTGACCATTTTTCTATTTACATACGTAGTATGGCATAGTTTCGAAAATGTCTTAATTCCTCGTAGGAAAACATTTCAACACAAAAGTTCTTCCAAATTTCATGAAATTAAAAATTTATTGGTGGTAAAATGTACAAAATCCATGCTAAATTACGTATGCATGTGGGAATAGTGAAATTTTGCCCAATTTTTCTATGTTGGGCGTCCAGAACTTGTTTGCACAGTTATGGAAACTTTTACTCGTTTTGGATATCCAATTGTACCAACTGAATTGTACCAACTGATTTTTTTAATTCGGGAAATAAGTATGCAGATATATTTATATTTTTGAATTTTCCAGGAATTCAACTATACCCTAGCCATCGTACCCATATAAACCTAAATTGGAACAGTATCATACCGTACGCGTTAAGTTTTGAGAACCGGACCACTCCCCAAAATGCTGGACAAATTGCACAGAAAATTAAAACTTATTATTTAGGAAAAGATCCCAAAATTACGTTTCGGAATCGAAAGAAGTGGATGAAGGTGAGTATATGTACATACATAGTCTTACCATACGAAGTGATAGTAGAGCGTAGTTTTTGAACGGGTCAACATAAAATTAAAAGGTCAGTTGTGGTTTGTGCATACATTCAGTGCCTATCATTGGTGTTGACCGCTTTTACTTGACATCACTAGGTCAAAAGTAAGAGAAGCTTAGCTACACGCGCGCGGCAATAATTTTTCACTTTTTGCACGAGAAAAAAATGCACGATGTTTGATGCAGTGTAGCAGTCCAAGTGCAACTACGATCTGGATGCCCAAACTATTAAAGTAATCCTAGAGACAGGGTCTATCTTTGGTATAAAGGTTTCGGTGGTCCAAGGTCAAGGAAGACTACAGTGATGTCCGAAGCTTTGAACGATAAAATAGCACAAAATCTCCGTCTGACACCAAAGAGTTTGGCCATAGAATTGACCTTTCAACTTTAGAGATCAGATTAGCACTGAAAAGTGACCCCAAGATGAAGGTCTTTTAGATTAGAAAGCATCACATGCTACAGATTTCCTAAGCCTAAGCAATGGTCGAAAAATCGACCTCTCTCCCCAAACGGTACGGTGAAAAAACCAGAAAAACTAACCTGTTTACCGATGATAATTTCTTTAGGACAGAAACATATTTCATCAAAAAAACTAACACGTTTTAGGTCAAATACGCTAAGGGTTAGCTGATCACATGTTAGGTATATGTATGCCTACGTAGATATGTATATGTAATTAGTTATGAATCTGTACATCACTCCAGCTTTAACTCTCCACTAATAAATACTCTCCTCTGTCTCCTCTCACTGTGTACCACTTATTTATGTATAATAATATATACATAACATTGGTGGACCGTCGAGTACTTTCTTTCGCTCCTCCCACTCACAATGGATTTTAAAATTTTCAAAATTCTTCCGACGACTAAGCAGCTTGACCAACGCCCCTTAGAGCATTGTCATTTTGCTTCCGATAGGGAAACTTCCCAAATCTCTCTTCTCAAAACCTTGTGTAAACTGTGTGATTTTCCTGTGAAACTTTTTTTGTGAATTTTCGTCATCTGGTCTGTAAATTGGATTATCCTCCCGGATGCTATCAGGTCTGTAAATTGGTTCTAAACCACCCTGAAAATCTTCCTTCATTCTTAAAATTTCCAAATCTCCAGTCCAAAATTTACATTTCATAATTCGAGCAAATATGCAAAATTCAAAATTCCGTTATTAAGTAGCTTCAGCTACTTTATGTGAAGACTTTGTCTGTCTGTCTGTCTGTCTGTCTGTCTGTCTGTCCGTCTGTCTGTCAGCAGGATATCAGGAGAACGGATCGAGATAATCGAAATCGGTTTTCGCCATCATACATAGGACCCCAGGGGAAGGATCCTATCAACTTTTGGGGGCAACCGGACCACACCCCCTTTGGCGACAGGGGGTGTGGTCGGGGCAAAATGAGATTTTTAGTGCAATTTAATCTTTAGGTGAAATAGAGTGAAATTAAGTGTTCCCGAGTTGTTCCACACCCCCTCGTCGCCAGGGGGTGTGGTCGGGGCAAAATGAGATTTTTACAAAAAATTAATCTATAGGTGAAATAGAGTGAAATTAAGTGTTCCCGAGTTGTGGTGGAACCGTTTGGGGTGAAGTACGTCTGAAGCTACTTCCGTATGCGCGTTTGCGACGGTTTATTTGTTTTAAACACGTCAAAAAAATTTATGCAAAATTGTCCTTAAAAATTGTAAAAAAATCGTAAAAGAAATGTAAAAAATTCCTTTTAATTTCTGAAAAATTTTCATCAAAATTCGTTCAAAATTTGCAAAACTTCTGCAAAATATATGCAAAAAACTCATTTTTATTCATTTCGTCTAAAAATTGTCCCAATTCTTTATCAAATTTTGCTGCAAATCTGATTCACCTTGTCTCAAAATTCTGCTGAACTTTTATGCTCCTATGCGTTGTCACGACTTTCCCAGGCTGAGAATGAAATATAACGCCTTGAGATTAATGTTTGTAATGAGCAACGTCTACATATTATTTGCGAGTCCAATTGTGTCAATTATTCAAGTATGGAAATCCACATTGTACATAGTTCCCCTTTTTTTAACGAGTCACGGTTATGGGTCACCCACACAAAACCCTGCGTCTTCGAGTTGTCCGGTTATGGGTCACCCAGAGAAAACCCTCACAAGTCTGCGTATTTATGTATCTCCGATGTCCCGATGGACCACATACCACGACCATAAAAATGTATTTTTCTTTGTTCATCGTTTTGTCCCAATCTGCAAGTTTTATATGAGTCAACCACCACCACGCCTGAGATGACACAATTCCACCACCGATTGCGAGCCATACCATCTTCTCAAGTTCCAGCCCTGCAAAATTACTGCGTCATTCGATATGTGTATTAAATTGTTCAGTGTTATTCATGCAAAATCTTTGTTCATGTTTGTTTTCCGGAGTCATTTCATATTTCATTTTTCCATGAATTTTACCTATGTATTTCCCAAACCACCAAAATTTCTAATTCAAATTGTGACTACTGAAATTTTTAGTTTGCAAACCTACACACTCTTTCAGACTATTTTTCAGGAGAAATATTTTTTCGTGAGAGGGTAGTGTTAGGTATATGTATGCCTACGTAGATATGTATATGTAATTAGTTATGAATCTGTACATCACTCCAGCTTTAACTCTCCACTAATAAATACTCTCCTCTGTCTCCTCTCACTGTGTACCACTTATTTATGTATAATCATATATACATAACATACAAAAAAAGGTCAAAATGTTATCTTATCAGGCTCCATTCATGGTTTTGGTGGGAATCGGCGGAATTGAGCAAAAACAGCCCAATTTCCTTGATTAAGGAGAGGAGATAGTTTAAAAAAATATTTGATAAACGTCCTGATGAAACTGGGGCACCCCCTCAACTAGTCCATATCGGATGAAACCCCACCGACCTTTGTGAAGGCGTCTACAGTAGCATTTACAGCGAAATTCGTGAAAAACTGGATTAAAATCAATATTTCTGACTTCATTTGCACTTTAGGTTTAACGTTGGAATTTTCGAACCGCAGACAACTTCACCACCAAATATTGATTAAAATTGAGGAAAAAGTCTGTTCTAAGCCTCATATTACTGTCGGGGTCACAAAAAAATTTCTGACCCGGGAATGATACACTTTGTCCATTAATTTCGTGCGTATTTTTGATGGAGCTTTCTCTTTCGTGACCAATTTTTCATGGTCACAGGAGGAATATATTTTCAAGTTTAATACACGTTTTCTACTTGAAATTTAACTGGCTTTTCAATGGATTAAGAATAAATTTGAAATTCCTTAAAACTAAGCTAATATAGTCATCTACTCTACTATCACTTTTTAAGTTGAGACTATGTATTTATCTGGGAACTGCACGTCATAAAACTAATTTTAAAAGAAGCTATATGACTATAAGAACGGAAATGCAGCAGGCACTTCTTAAAATGAAGAATGCAAAACACTTACAAGGTAGCCTCCCAGCGATTTTGACCAAAATGGTGTATCCTAAATGTAATACATATGTATTTATTTGAAAAAGACACTTTACTAAAGCTTGGATTTAGCAAAGATATTTGCCTCCAAATTGGAGAAAACGCAGAAAATTTGCCTTATCTTTGAATGAAAATTTATTTCCCAAACCTAGATCTTGGGAGATTGTGTCTTTTGCAAATGTGCATAGTAATTATACTTGTCATCGATTTACACGATTTTAGCCAAAATCAGAGAACATACGCTGGGAGATATCCGTCGTATGCAAATATGTATGCAGGTGCCACAAAATACGTATGCAGTTGGTTTTTTTTTTAAATTAAAACACCAGAACATTTAACTCCTTTATATACGTTTGCGTCTCGAAGTACTTTAAGGACACATCTTTACCAACAATTTTTTTTCCAACTATTTACTTACAGATATTCGGAGACAGAATGATCGTCCAAGGGGTTCACGCCATGATGGAGCAACATTCCAAAATCGCCCCTACGTATGGATACATGTTTTCCTACGCGGGAGAGCGATCCATCGTGCAAACTATCGGGCTGAATCGGGACAACTGGGGGGTCGCTCATACGAATGAAATGCTCTATTTGTACAACAATACGAAACAGTTTCCCAATATGAACGAGACCAGTAAGGATTTCAAAGTTTTGGAAACTTTGGTCAATTTATGGACCAGTTTTGCAGAAACGGGGTATGTTGTAAATTAAAATTTGGCTTGATTTCAGTTACACTCTTAAAAATAGTAGTACCCTTTTGCACATAAATTCCACACTGTTTAAAATCTAATATATTTTCTTACTCGGTATTAAACTTGCTACCGATTGGTACTAAACTTGTAGCGTTCCGTAGAAATTTGCAAAAATTTGCTACCGATATGGTAAATTTTTAATTTCGATGAATTACTACTCTATGTTGCTTATCAATACCACTTTGCAAAGTAGTAGATATATACAACCTGGTATTATTTTAATAACAGATTTTAAGAGTGTATATTGCATAAACTGTACTAAATACAGACTAAACTTTACTCTTCATCAAGTTAACATTCCTCTGGATTTCGTATAGTTTACTTAATTTAGAATTTAGAGTGCATTTACTTTTAAAATCAGTAACATTATTTTTAAGAGTGCACATTTTTTTCTTTTTGGACAGAACCCCCAGTCTGAACGAATCCGATTACCGATCCCCTGCTAAAATCTGGAAGCCCATTTCACCCTCTGCAATGCAACTATTGGAGATTAATTTCGTTAACCAGGTTCCAAGAATGATAAAATTTCCGCAAGAAATTTCCGAAAGGGTGGAATTCTGGAAAAGTCTGGGACTTCGTGGTGATCCTGTGTTTCTATAAAATTCTGTTATATGTAAATACACACAAGCCTAAAATATAAATTCAAAATTGAACATAAAATCCAACAAACGACCCAAGTTCTCTGCCACTGAAAGGCTAATTTCCCACTCCCCTCAGTACAATTTATTATCCAACGAGATATATTTTGCAAGATTGTGTACAAAATTGTAATAAATATGACTAAAATTGCATACATAAATATTCGGCGAAAATTCGCAACAAATGTTGTACAATATAAATAGTTATACAAACATTGGTAAAAACATTGCTACCTTTTACGTAAATGCAGGCAATTTATTATACATATTAAGCAAACTGCTTATACAAATACTCACAATGCAAGTCTTTTACGTGTACAACTCAGATCTGGTTGGGACCAATTTTTTTTTGTTCCCCACAAAAAATAAGCATACCCGTATTTTTTCATTTTTCCTAATGCGCTAATTTGAGCGCGAGGCGCGAATTTTAAACTGTTTTCCAGCCAAAACCTCCGTTTTTAAAAATTCTGTAAATTTTCTAATTTTAGCGCGAATCCAAAAATTCGAAAACATGTCTCTTCAGATTGATTCACTTGACTTATAAAAAATCCAATTATCTCGAAATTTGAATTTCAAAATTTTTTGCCAGTTTTTGAAATTCATTAAAATTATGAACTCTTTCAAATGTGTACTTTTTCAAAAAATAGTGTATTTGGATTTTTTATAAGTCAAGTGAATCAATCTGAAGAGACATGTTTTCGAATTTTTGGATTCGCGCTAAAATTCGAAAATTTACAGAATTTTTAAAAACGGAGGTTTTGGCTGGAAAACAGTTTAAAATTCGCGCCTCGCGCTCAAATTAGCGCATTAGGAAAAATGAAAAAATACGGGTATGCTTATTTTTTGTGCTGAACAAAATAAAATTGGTCCCAACCAGATCTGAGTTGTACAGGTAAAAGACTTGCATTGTCAGAGTAAACTTACTATGAATCAAGTTAAAAATAGTCATGATAAAATCATGATCGGATCGAATTTCCTCGGATTGGGTCGCCCTATGGTCTACCCCATTGCTCGCACCCACCTGGCTGGTCTTTACAGAGGGATGTGAAGTCAAACACGTTATCCTGACCTATCAGTCCATCTTGCTTTCGAAATGTGCTGTAAGGAGGGTAACCCCACCCCCACCCGCCGGCCTGGCCGGGTGGGTAACTAATTAAAAAAAGATAGTTATATTCATTTACGTAATTTTAAAAATTTTCGAAATATGTACGTACCATCCTCCATAAATCATGAGGGGGTAATTGCTCTGACGTCCCGTTCGAGTAGTTTTTCTTGGCGTTACTAATTTTAATTTTGCGATTCGACTTTGGCCATATTCGGACGTGTGGCTTGTAAATTTTTCGGTTAAAACATTCTCCACGTTTCGATCAGTTATTGGGATAGATAAGACTAGGTGGACTGATGATAACAGGACCAGTAACTTGTCGATAAACAAAAAGGTAATTTATTATGTATAGATTAGTAGACGATTAAAAATCTGATTGTTCATAAATCGTGTCACGCAAAAATGGCCGAGTTTTCAGACACCCCTCGTGACACCCCGATTTAACAACTGCTACCACCCCTAAGCCATGAAATAATTCATGGACATCCCCTTAGGATTACTCTATGCAAATATGTGAGTATACTTGTTTTTAAAGATAAGTTGAATGTAGGTTTTTTGAATTTGAATTTTTGTGTCTACTTTACTTTGAATTCTAATCACGATTTTGAAACATCTTCATCTCCTTACATTAAAACAAATTATGGATTTCAAAAATCAATAGTTTTTAGGTTTACGAAGCTAGGTGGTTAGAATTTTAATTTCTACTTTTTCATTTTAAATTTAAATTTAATTTATAACTTTTATATATTTTATTCTATTTTATCATGGAGGAAAAAAATTAAAATTCTAATCACCTAAATAACTTTGTAAATCCACAAACTATCGATTTTTAGATGCATTAAGATCTTCATTTTTTATAAAAAACGTAAGAGATGAACAGGTTTTAAGATCATTATTTAAGAACACGAAAGAAGGGAGGCTGATACACAAAAAAATTCAGATTCAAAACCCGCATACAATGTAACGTTAATTTACTTACCAGCCAAATCATTGACGATTTTTCAATTAGTACAAATGTTCCCATTTTGAACAATAAAATTTAATAACTAAATAGTCTTGTTAACGCAGTGGTGCAAATGATACTAAACATGTAGAACAAAAGCTGGTTTTTGATAAACACTTTGACTGCAAAGAATTGATTTGAAACCGGTATTCTCATGTCAAGACAGACATAATCAATACATATTAATTCAACCAGATATTTAACATATATTTTTATGCAGGTGGTGATTATCAGCATTAACTAACGTGTTTTGTATCAAAAAAACATAAGTAAAACATTGAATTACCCTGAAAACTCGTTTAATTTATACCCATAGATCCGCTTTTTGGCTACCCTCTTAGCAAAACTAGGAGCCCACATGACTTAACCAAATTGTGATAATATTTTACCCCACATGGTGATAGATCTTCCCCACAGTGTGTTAAATCCTCACTATCTAGTGTTACGTTAACATTGCATACATACATGTATGTGGTAGTATCCGATGAGTGTACTAAAACCTTGAAGTGGTTTGACTTCATGGCCCCATTTACACCACTAGCCAAGCCACACCCACTCAAAGTTTCCCAAAATATAGAGAAAGTAGTGCTTTCACCCATTCAAATCCACGTCAAAAGTCCAATTTTATACCAATATTGTAAACCTTTAATACCGAGTTATAACTACACAGTATTATTTATCAATACCATGTTGGTAGAGTTATATATGAGCACCGCCGGGTATTATATTAATACTGGATTTCTAATCTTAGAAATCCAGTACGTATATACACTCTTGAGTGTATATACGTAGTACTCGCTAAAGTTCTGTTATAAGATTTCCCGGGTAAATTAAGCAGGCAAGACAATTTTTTATTGAAATCTCCATGCAAATTACCGTCCGAAACAATGTTTTGAAAACTTTTGTGACACAAGGTGCAGAAATGACAGATAGGCAAACATGGCGTGTTTGAATTTTTCAGTAACATTTGAGCGAATAAAAAGAATCGACATTTTCTAATTGCTCAACAAAAATCGGAATTAGTCGGAAGGTGGTCGACCGTACCATAAAATGGTGCACTGACACTGTCAGTATCGACAACCGAAAAAGAAGTGGAACGGGACGATTACGAAGGTCACCAAAATTCACCAAGGCGCGAAAAATCTGGATTCGCCAAAATCCATGCCGAGCCCAAAGAAAATTTCCCTCGCAAATGAACGGATCAAGTAAGACTAACAATGCGATGACGCCAGCGGTCTCGCCCCGATTTCGACGAAACGATGATAATTATGTAGCCTTAGATAAATAATTAGACACGTGTTTCAGGATTTTTCATAATGCTCAGCTTAAACGAAATTATGACGAAATTCGTGAGCGAGAATTCCCATTTTCACCGTGACATTTTTCTGGCAAGGGAGAAAAATACAGATTCTCCATTACGGAGTCCATCATAATTTCGTTTAAGCTTAAATTGCGTGAACATGAAGTGTTTTTTCCTATTTTATGTTGCTTGTACAAATTTTGAAATTTTGAAAATTTTTGAAAATTTCCAAAGATTTCTGAAAAGTTTAAAATTTTTTGAAAATTTCTGAAATTTTCTGACATTTTTAAAATTTTCAAAAATGCAACAAACAAAATCGTAGAAAATCACTTCGTGCCCACCAATTTTAAGTTTAAACGAAATTATGATGGACTTCGTAATGGAGAATCTGTATTTTTCTCCCTTGAGAGAAAAATGTCACGGTGAAAATGGGAATTCTCGCTCACAGATTTCGTCATAATTTCGTTTAACCTGAGCATTATGAAAAATCCTGAAACACGTGTCTAATTATTTATCTAAGGCTACATAATTATCGTCGTTTCGTCAAAATCGGAGCGAGACCGCTGGGGTCATCGCATTGTGAGTTTAAACATAGTTATGATGGTATAAGTGGCCGAAAATTCGCATTTTTCTCGTGAAGTTTTCCTTTTATTGTTTTTGAGGGAGAAAAATGCGAATTTTCGGCCACTTATACCATCATAACTGTGTTTAAACTCAGCATTATGAAAAATCCTGAAACATGTATTCAATTATTTACCTATTGCTACATAATCATCCAAGTTTCATCAAAATCGGAGCGAGACCGCTGGCGTCATCGCATTGTAAGTCCCTGGCCCATAAACTAAACCTTAGACTTATGTCTTCAAGACACGAGGAGTAACACTTCCTAACTGCACGCCAAGTAAAAACAGACCCATCAGAACCCGGGCTCTTATCATGCGGTACGCGATTAAAAAATAGAAACCGATAATTTTAAAAAATAAGCCCACCATTATGGGTGAGGTCAAATAAAATAGCAAAATACCATATTTGCACCCCACCAGTCTAGGCTATCCTTAAAAATTTCTTAAATTTTGATGGGACCCACCATCCTGCTTCTATGATTTTTTTATTGGACTTAACTTGAATTGCGTCGAAATCGTGATTTTTCTTAATAAGGTGCCAAAATTGCGTGTTAGAAATTATTTTTTCAAGTTCTCGAGCGAAATGTGGAACCATTTAACCAGTACCTATTCAAAAATAACATTCAAGCAGGGCTCAGATCCTGTTCATGAGACCAAGATAATAATTAGGTGGTTAAAATCCTAAATTCCTGACTCCAATTCGGACCAAGAAAAACATTCATTGCCGCCGAACCTAAACCTGCTGGACTATGACATATTTTTTAAACTTTAGCTGGATGTATGTGCTAAACTTCACACAAGTTTTGAATCCATACAAAATTCTGTCGTCAGGATATGGGACAAATCTCCCCTGAAACGGGTGCGTACTTCGATCGAGTGGTGGATACGAAGACTCCTGGCTCGTCTAGCCTTATAAGATTGACATTTTAAAAAGCGAATAGTGTTTCTCATCCAGAATTTCATTGGCTTTTAAGTAATGTAAGTCGTTTTTCGAAATTCGGTAAACTGGGTTCGCTACAGCGAGTTGTTCTTATAACAGAACTTTAGCGACTACTAGGTATGCTCGTTATTACTCTGTGGCTAGAGCCTTATTTATGTAAATAAATATATATATACATATGCTCCAGCTAGTAGTGATTTAATACCAGTTTGCTAAGAGCGTATCTATGTACATATTTCAATTTTCTCAGAATCTCTCTCTCCGTCAACAAGTTCATGAAGATTTATGCCAGAAATTTACATACATATGAGTCACGCTAAATGGGAAATGGTGAGATTAGATGGTTTATGTATGTATGTAATCATTGCAAAAATCTTGTGAGCGTATGTATGTGTTCACATTTTATGTATATATATGGTATGTAAATTTCGACTTGTTGAGTATGTATTGCTTGGTCGAGATGAAGCAAACTGCTCCAGTTTCATACGATGCATGAGCTTGAAACGTTTCTTGGCACATTTGCGTAAGTTAGTAAGTAGTGCGTGATTCATACCAATTACATTAGGCCCAGTACATAAATTTATTAATATCCGATCAAAGAGTAGTGGACAGCTTTTGTAAAAATGTGAATAAATTTTTCGAAATAATTTTAACTAGTAAAGAAATATGCTGAGGGTTTAAATTTTTAAGATTAAGGATTTTGGAGAAATTTTGGTGTTTTGGTAACAAAACCCGTTTTAAGAGGGAGATTACTTATTACATAGGTCACTATATTTACAATGATGTATTACACACACAGTGCGCAATAATAAATAATTTCGCCAGATTAATTGTATAATTTATTTAATTAAACTCCATACTTCACAGTCTTAAAAATAATCATAATAATATACATCCACTTTTAAAAGTGAATGCATTCTGAATTAAGTAAGTGAAAGGAACATTTTGAAAAAATAAATGCGGATTTTCGATTGTTTCTGTTTTTCAAATTTTGATAAACGTTTTTCGAAAGGTCAAGGGTTGACCTTAGACCATATTCTAGTGTATATTCGGACTCGCGAAGTCCGTAGCTTTCCAAAAATATACGGTTTGTGGGGTTTCGAGCGAAAAAGTGCACTGACCTGTGACCTCTATTTCCGGTCGAACCAGGTCACTTAGGGCTTAGGGACCAATACATTTTTGGTTCAGCACGTCGAAATGTATAACATATCAAAATTTGGGGCAAATATCACGGTGGGGCATTTCACGTAAGGAGGGTGCCTCATCCTTTGCCACAAATTTTTAAAGTGCGATAAATTGGACATTTCTGACAAGGACAAGTCATGACAGCACAACCCTAAGGTTTGATTTTTTAAATAAGAGACTACTAGAAACTGTCATTTAGAGAATCACCGAACTACATATCACCTGCACTGTATAGCATCCAGTAATCCCCTACAGGATTGGTTATAAATAGTTTGAATCAGAGTGGAAAACATTTCATTATCATCACATTACTACGCGTAACGATCCATATTACCGATGCCGGTAGCGTCAAATATGTACTCCGGCCAGTAATGATTCAATACCACTTGCCTAATATTTGTTGTGTACTATTTCTCTTAGCTTTAGATTTTCGTAATATTGAGCTTTATGAACTTAATCCAGTTTTTGAGTAGTATGTACCCTAAATTTCATTATTATAATTTCTACAGCGAAAAAGATCCCCACGTCGGAGGATATCACGTCCAAATTTTCCAATTCCATCGCAACCCCAGAATCCCTCATATCAGTTCAAACTTTTGTCACTGACGCCATCATTACGGGATACACGGCACATCAAAAAAGTGAGCTGGAAGGAATACTAACCATCATGGAGGAGATTGTCGACCGGTTGCGTTACTTAAAACACGACACCACCAAAATAGACTTAATTCTGCAAAGAATTCGAAAGCACTTGCAAACCTTTGAACAAAATTTGGTAGGTTTCAGATTTTCAACGGCGTCAGAAGAAATCGACACTCTGGAAGAACTCGCGATGAATATGCGGCTTGATGTTAAAGAAATTGAATAATTAACTACTTTTCTCAGTATTTTGCAGACCTGACCAAATTATTAATTGACAATTACAATTACAAATTAGTAATTACAATTTGTAATTTGAGTTACCTCTTTTTCTAAAAATGTAACTGTAATTGTGTTTATAATTTGTAATTTCACTTTGAAGTAATTGCCCAGCTCTGATATCTTGTACATGTCTGACATGTGCATTGAAAACTTTAATCTTTATCGTGTCACCGTTACTCTAGATCTATCTATTCAAAAAAACTTTTTTCATTCAAAGTTCAGTCATCTCGATTTCTGAGTACAGATTTCCATTCATATTCAGTTATTTTCTTTCAAACTCATTCCATTTCACATCGCCCTTTGTGTTATGTATTTAAGTACAGGGTGTAAAATGAAATGAAAAATCCTTTCAATTACAGTCATTCATCTGAAAGGACTCAATCTTCATTCAAGTCACAGGAAATTCATTTTCATCTACAATCATTCTCTAACGTAGTCCGTCACATGAATGAAACTGAACACGTATGTATGAGTACGGTTTACTTCTTTTAGAATTCAAGGTGCATTAACTTTTCAAAAGGGCGACATTATTTTTAAAAGTGACGTCTTATATACATACTCCAATACAGATATTTTACTTGTCCACAGCCTCACTCCTTTCCACCTTGGAAAGCAACGTGCAAAAGTCGCAAAATTTGAAACACAAATTCCACGTCAAATCCATGGTTACTGGGGGAACCTCATTGCTCATCTGGGCAACTTATGGTCTCGTCCCTATCACAATTCCAGTCGGTCTGGTCGCCTGGTATTATTGGTTCAAATATAAAATGTCTTACTACGACGTTGCCGACCATATTAAACAAATAAATCGGTTAATCGAAAAATTGCACATTTATGAGATGAACTTGAACGAAATGAATATGAATGCGGATCCTGCCATGGATGAAATAAAATTATTCCGCGCTAAGGTTAAGACCGATAAGTGGAGGCTGAATGTATACATAATCCTAAGCAGATTAGTTGTGATTTCTTTGATATGTCTTCTCATTTACAAGTGGCGTCTCGTTATGTACATAATGCACGAATTAGTTTTACCTGTGAGACTAGTTTTAGAATGGTGGAGTGAGGCGCGGGCCCTTTAATTAAGTGGTTTTGTTTGGGGTATATTGAAATATATCCTCATCTGGCAATGCGTTTGTGTGTCACATATTTGGTCCGAGACATGTAGATGGGGGCACGATAAATAAAAATTGGATACAATTAATCCTCCTTTATTCATTCATTACAAATTGGAAAATAAGTACATATGTATATTTATGAATTATTCAGTACTCATTTTTTATTCAGTTTGTCTTAAATCTAATTACTAATTAGTAATTAGATTGATTTATCAGTATGTGTACCTTTGTATTAAGCATAGCGTAAAAAACGACAAAAAATATGCATTAATTCCTCATGAGTATGAAAGGAATAAATATTTATTCAAAATTCATTCATTCAAAACTTTAAAAGAATACTCGCTCAATATTCATTAAGTATCTGTAATCGAATAATGATTGAATAAACCGTAGTAACGTTAGAAGTAGCTCACCCTGTAATAATGATTTGGTTATAACTTGCCCCAAAGGTGCAGAAAAATGCAACAAAATAGATACATAATTTTTTGGCAATTATGCACCAATGGTGCAGAAAAATGCAACAAAGTAGATCAATAATGTTTATGCAATATTGCACCAATGGTGCAGAGAAATTAAACAAAATAGATCAATAATTATTATGCATCGAGCAAAGTCCAAAAATTGTGCATCACTGGTGCAGAATTACCTACCAACGAACAACGATAATTTTGAAAAATTTATGTCAGAATTGTCAAATAAAATCCGCCGAGTAGTATGCACTATTGGTGCGTTATGCATCAAAGCCCCCAATTCTTTCGCATCATTTGGTGTTTCCGATTGTTAGATACCAACGGTGCTATTAATTTATGAAAAAATGGACCTGATCCATTCTAGTGAGTATCAATTGATGTTCATCCAATTGTTTCGCATCAGCTTGGATATCAAACTGTTCAATACGAACGGTGCTACTTATTCCAAAATTGTAGTGCTTTCTCGATCCATTTGCACAATTAATTCGCACCATTTGCGCCACGGATTGTTCGATACCAATGGTGCGCCTAATTTATTCTATAATGGTCAAGGGGATTATTAATTAGCATCAATTGATGCAAAAAACTCGTGAACACACAGACAGACGGACGGACGGACAAGAGGAATTCAATAGCTCTCATGCTTCGCAGGGTGAGCTAATAATTTTGTATTGAATACATACATGAATTTGAACATGATAGGTCGCAGTCGGGGTCAAGAGCTTTTTGGAAAACGGGAAAAATATTCATTCAATATTCTTATCATACCTGTGCAAGCGAATTTCGCTTCACTCAACTTCACTCATTTTCACCTCGGGCCAAGTTGCCCTTCACTCCCCTCACTCGCGTGAAGGAAGGCTGAGTGAGGCTTCACTCGCTGATAAATTTGATTCTCACTCCTTCATTCCCTTCACTTCCTCATTCCCTTCATTTCCTCATTCCCCTCACTAAGCTATTTTCCTCACTCTTTCTTTCATTCAATTCAGTCCCTCGTATCATCATAATTTAAATATTTTGGCGCCATCCAGTGGGGGAATTTGAGACTGGGCTGGGGCAATGTGAGACTAGGCTGGGGCAATGTGAGACTAGGCTGGGGCAATGTGAGACTGGGCTGGGGCAATGTGAGACCAGGCTGGGGTAATGTGCGACTAGGCTGGGACAACGTCAGACTGGGCTGGGGTAATATAAGAATTTCCTGGGATGATATGAAACGCACTGTTTTAATATTGGGACGGCGATTTTAGTATGTAAACCAATTATATTCCGCCAGCCTTTTTCCCCGGAGATGAAGGAGTAGAGGGATGAAGCTTCATCTCCTTCACTCCTTCACCCTTCATTCCACTCATTTCTCGTCTCAGCCTCCCTCACTCAGCTTCACTCACTCGATGAAAGTTTTCAACTCCCTCACTCAGCTTCACTCTCCTTCACTCCTTCATCGTGAATGAAGCCTCAATTTTCGCAAATTGAGTGAAGCTGCACAGGTATGATTCTTATTCAAATAATTTTGATCAAGGATGCCGCCGGTGGATATAACTAAATACGAAAAATTCTCCAAATTTCTGTCAAATTCTCGCCGAAATTTTTTCATAAACGTCGGGAAAAGCGTTCTCACAGTTGAGTTGTTTCCGCACCTTGTTATACATCGTTGGATCAAACATTTCATAAAATTCGTCCCGGCTTAAAAACGTATCTGCGTAGAGAGCTTTCCAACTGTAAGTGGACACTTAACGAATTGAATTTCCTAATATTTTTTTTCAAAAAATAGGCTATTAAAAATTTCGGTTTTTTACCATCTATTTTGAAGGCAGAACTGTTCATATATTTTATTGGATTTGACAAGCTCGTAATCATCGGGGTTCTTTGGGATTCCATAAATTCCAATATCAAGCTGCATCGTGTCCGGTTTCTCGTCAAATTTAAAAAATCCAGGTTCATTGAACGACCTGCTGGGGCATAGCCAGACAGGATAGATCTGAATAAATAAAGGAATAGATTTATTCCTTATTTTTAAGCAAAACTCTACAGAAAGGATTCAAGGTTAGGAAAAATGAGTATTTACTCTATCTTGAGTAAATTTTACTCATTTCTATTAGTGTACCTTTTGGTTGTGTCACCTTCTTTTTTTTTACTCAACTTTGAGTAAATTTTACTCTTTTTAAATTAGATTTTTCCTTTTGATTGTGTCATTCTTTTTTTTTTACTCAACCTTGCGTAAATTTTACTCTTTTTTATTTAGAGTGTGCATCATCATCAATATCATCATCATGATCCTTACCTCGACTTGTTCGTTGAAAAATTGCAGCGCCATTTTAGCTTTTTCGATCGGCACGATGAAATCTTGGAGGACCATATTTAGCTCAAAGACTCGTCTGAAACTGTGCGGGATCAGTTTGTAAAAGTTTATCTCGCTGGGCGCGGTCCAACCGAAAAGCCAGCGCATTACGGGCATGTCAATGTACGGCACGAATATCTCGAAATACCAGAAAGCGCAGTACGTGTGGCGGTGGTAATAATCGCGGACCGGGATTTATTCAAAGATGGGGGCAGCTTGAGACACAGTTAAGAAATCTTGGACATGTTTATAGAAAGATTTCTTGTACCAGCGAGCCACAGAGTTTACCTGGAATCATATAAATAATAAGGTGTTCAAAATATTTTGATTCGTTCGTTTTCAAAATTGAAAAACATCCTTCATTTTTTATTCATTGATTGAAAATTTGGAAAAAATTATCTACGTAATACAGTGTCTCAAAAAATTGAAGGCACCTTTACGTATTTTTAATTGCGATATGATCCCATGCACTTACAGCTTCGAAACTCTGCATGCAGTTGTATAAACTAATTGGCGAATAATCCCTCGTCGCCGATTTCTAAGGTCACCGCCCGGTCGAAGGTCAGAATTTTTTAACTACTTCAAAATGAGAGGCCAAAATGAAAACTTCATGGATAATTTTTTTTGGACTTTCTAATATTTTTTATTGGTTGCGGCAAGGCCTCACGAAAAAAATGAGCTATCGCTCAACCGTGTACGATTGTTTTGACACCCACAGGAATTTTTCGCCAAAAACGGTTTTGAGGGCTAAAATCGTGACCGTGGCGAAATTCAAAGATTTGAAATATACAAAAGCATATATTCAATGTTTATATGGTTTTGTATATTTTTACAAAAATTGAATCTATAGATGACATAGAGTAAAATCAATAGTTCCCGCGATAGCATGGGAGTGGCTGTGGTGAAGTGAGTCTGAAGCAGCTACTTCCTTATGTGCGTTTATGACGGTTCATTTACGTATTTAATGACAATCTTTTATATTTCTTTCTCTACATACATACGCAACTCATGATTCATATTGGTAAATATATGTAAATATGTCAGTGGCAGAGATTCCAATCGGGATTACGCTATGCACCTACTCAATAATCTGAATCGTGGGAACTCTACATTACATACATATATACATAGATAAGTTAGCTTTGGTTAGTTTTATATGCAAATTAGAGAAACAGGAATCCCGAGTGGGAGACAAACATGCATGTATGTATATTCCCACGGGTGTTTTTGCCCATCTTACATAAGTTCAAAAGTTCAAGCATATAAACAGATATCCAACCATCCCGGGAACTAACATGTATTTCCACTTTTTAAGATAGATACATATATACAATGAAATAGTATTTTTTTCGCGCTCTAACTATTTTAAAGTTAGATGCCTTAAAATTTGCGTAAAATTGAGTAGATCAAAAATCCGTAACAACATTGAGGTGGTCGATTGGTGGTTTTTGAGATCTGGGCCAAAATGTGCAAATTTTCAGCAAATTTTGAGTTTTGTATCATAATCATTCAATGTTGGTCGAATATCACTGGAAACAGTTAAAAAAAATTATTTGGGACTAGAATATGCCTTGATTTCTGACCCTAATTTTGCAATTGGTTGAATATGTATTGCAAAATAATTCCAATTTCCATATTTGTTTTCCATGATCGAATTAAAGTACTTATTACAAGCTGTTGGCGTATTGTTCAAGAATACCTAATAGTTGTATACATATTTGTCCAATTCGCCTTTGCGTTGAATTTTGTAACCCTCTCGCGAATTTGTAGTATCAATTTTTCGGTTAATATTTAGCCAGTGCTATGAATTGAAAGGTCCGATTTATAAAATATTTTATCGCAAAATTGAAACTTGGAATATTTCCTGTGTAACGGATTCGTTAAACCTGTTACCTGGGGAAGTTCCATGAAATATACATACACTCAAAATAAGGTGGTAATGAATCATTACCATGCGGAATTACTATGTGGCTCTACCACGCCGGTTACGATTTGTCGTAGAAATGGTAATGATAAGTTCACGGAAATTCAAATTTAATACATAATGGTATTCACTTCCGTAATATTTGGTAATGAATTTGAATTTCCCTGAAATTATTATTACCATTTCTACGACAAATCGTAACCGACGTGGTAGAGCCACATAGTCATTCCGCATGGTAATGATTCATTACCACCTTATTTTGAGTGTATGTCAGGCTGGCTAACATGGACCGGATATGAAAAAACTCCTATCTCCGCTTTGGAGAAGTAGTAATAACAACAGCATTACCAAACATGATTATTTTACTATATTTGAATATATTTAGTAACTGCTCGGACACCCTTCTCACCTTTTAAGGTCTAGCGCATGTCAAAACCCACAAAATTTACAGGCCAACAAAATTTGAAATATTTCAAAATTCTCCAGAAACTTTCGAAAATTAACCGAAATAAATATTTGAATGCAACCAGGCGAGTCATGACGATTCCTTGTTACCCAAATGAATGTAAACATGCAAGTTTGTTTTACTACTTATTACATATGCATGCATTATAATATACTGATTAAAGGAATTAAGGTAGCTTTGAGATGATTAATTTGTATAACTGGAAATATCACACCAGTTTCACATAATTATGGATAATTCATCAAATTTAAACTCATCTGACGTAGTGTTTTGTACTCAATTATTAATCTTGACATTGATTAATGCTGCAGTTCTGATCACGCCGTTTTTCTTGCTGTACATAAATAGTCTAAACCATGTATATTACTAGCGTATAAGCCCGTCTTCCGCCGGGCTTATTTGATTTTCGTGAAAATTAAGTGATATTGCTCATAATTCCACCGAATTATTTTTATATTGTATCTATATTATTAGCTGGAAATGTCGGTTGGAAACGGAGGTGAAACTTTCCCCACTTCCACTTCCGTCACGGAAAATCGCTTTCACTTCCGTTGCAGACAAACATTTCCAGCTTATAATGTAGATATTATGTGACGACGTGCTGGTACACTTATCGAACTAACTAAATTATAATTAGTTTCAGTATTGGCAACTATTCATTAAAACAATAATGCGTCGATTTCAGTAAAACAATTAATTACCAAAGTTTCGCCCAGGTGAAAGCCAATTAAGTCAAAAGCGAGGTTTTTTGTCCTTGCGAACCCTGTAAATGCTGCGTCATCAACTATTTTCAACTAACTGTAGCTGGTTCAGTAATTTTGCGGTGGTTTACAAATCCCGACGTGTAAATTCCGCCCATTTGTCACACTCAGAATAAAAAGTAAGCAAATTGCTACCGGGCGGTGTCTATATATGACCTCACCGGTTTGGTAGCGATTTTCTACGGAATTGTAGTAAATTTGCTACCATCTTGTAGCATTTCCTTACCCCGCTGTTACGATTAGTCAAAATGTGGTAGCAAATTTACTACAATTCCGTAGAAAATCGCTACCAAACCGGTGAGGTCATATATAGACACCGCCCGGTAGCAATTTGCTTACTTTTTATTCTGAGTGCACTGTCACTTTATTTCAACGAAACACTTATCCATTTTTTAGGTAATACGTAAATTTATGTATGTAGTAAACAAACCTGACATTGATTAAGTGTCCTTGTTAAAATTCAGTGAAATCCTGACCTTATCGATAAATTGGTTCGTGCTAAAGTTTAATTTATAAAGTCAACTTATGTAGATAAATTATTCTGTTAGCTATACTAATCTGGGGCTTCATGGCATAGTTGCGTCACAGTCGAATATAAAAGGGAGTTCAGTCCGATAAATTTGCGCAGTTAGGAGACAAGTTGACAGCATACGTCGTCGAAGTAGTTGTGTTGAATTTATTTTGAAACAAAAACTGAATCATGTATCGGGACAGATTCCGCTACTTTGTGTACTTCTCGTTTCTGATTTTTTGCAACAGTTCAGTCACGGAGGCAAACAGTGCAGAATTTTATTCTGAGTTTGCGTTGGAGAAAATGGTATGAAATATTAGAGTTTTCTTGTAAAGTAATTTTATGCCGGTTTTAATATCCATTACAACACTCTAAACATCAAGGCAAATACCACGCGTGATATTACATACCTTCTTGGTAATAAATTGTTGCGGAATGAATTTAAATTTATTTCCGAACTGGTAATAATTACGACAATAGGGTACCAAACATTTTAGGCGGGTTAATTAATTTGTTATCCTCACGGTAGAGTCACTTTACTCACTGACTGGATCTAAATTCGTTATTATTGTTCCGGATTAACTAAAGTAATGCCAATTCTTGATCACGCACTCTTTAAACAAAAATGTGAAAAATCAACTAATGTTTGAGTAAAACATAATATTTGGGTAAAATTTATCAAATCGTTGGATAAATATTAGTAAATTGCTTCGTCATATCGTCCTCCATTGTATGTACCTGGTACTCGCAAAAGAACTGTTACAAGAAAAACTCATTGTAGCGAACCCAGTTTGTTAAATTTTGAAGAAATAATTATATCACTGAAAGGCCAATGAAATTCTATATAAGAAACACTATTCACTTTTTAAAATTTCAACCTCGTAACGATCCCGGAGTCTTGGTGTCAACTTCGGGTTCGCGGTACGCATGCGTTCCAAGGGATATTGGTGTTATTTCTAGACGATAGATTTTTTTTCTTGCTTCAAACTTGTATGTGTCTTAGCACATGTATCTAGTTTCAGTTTACCATATATCGTATTCCATAGGTTGACGTTCGGCGACTGTGAATTTTATTCTTGGTCCTAAATGCAGTCAGGAATTATGGGCTTCAACCACCCATTTACTATTTTGGCCTCATGAGCTGGACCTGAGCTCTCTTTGAATGTCTAGTGGCTATTATCGAATTGGGGATGGTTCAGGGGTTTCACAATTCGCTGACTTCGATAACTATTTCTTAATACGAAATTTCACCCCCGGAGGACGAAAAATCACTTTTTAGATCAAATTCGACTTATGCCCAATAAAAAAAATCACAGAATCAGAATGGTGGGTCGGATTTATATTTTTGAAATTTGTGTGAATAATATGGATTGGTGGGGTGTTGACACGGTCCTCTGGCTTATTGTATTTGGCCTCAATTGTGAGAGTTTGCTCATCTTTTAAAAATGTTTGTTTTCATTTTCCAAGCGCGAACCGCATGATCAGCGCCCGGCTTCTGATGGGTATATTTTTAGAAGGCCTGAAGTTAGCGAGTGTTTCTCTTCACATCTTAAAGACATAAGTCCAATGCTTGGATTAAGGGACCGGGACATTGTTTTACTTAACCCGTTCATTTGCAGGGAAGTTTTTCTTAGGGTCCGGCGTGAATTCGGAGGAATTCAGGTTTTCTGCGCCTCCATGATTTTTTGTGACCCTTTTGACCGTTCCCTTCAACTTTTGTTTCACTATCAACACTGCCAGTGTCAACGGACCATTTTATGGTGCGGTCGACCAGCTTGCGATCAGTTCCGATTTTTATTGAGCAATTAAAACTTGATGAATTTTTTTGTTTACCAAAATGATGCTGAAAAATTGCAACATGTTGTTTTTGCTGAGCTATCACTTTGTCACCATGGGTTACAAAAAATTTTGAAACATGCTTTCTGATCGACAATTGCATGGGGATTTCAATAAGAAATAGTACAACTTCATAAAAAATGTGCAAATTTCAGAACTCCATTTTTTCAGAATATGTACATACCAAGGGGGGCCATCATTTACAACCATTTTCAGAGTTTGAAGTTTGCACTCTTCGGAGAACCACACCCCTAAAGTAGGGGTGTTTTGCCTTTCGCAAAACTTTGACCTGCAATCGTGTATTACCTTGCTGACAAATTTAATTTCGCCCTCCCATTTTCACTAACGTCTTTCCTAGAAGTATTAGGACTAGAGTGACACATTAATAAGGAGCCACTGTGCTTTTCATGCCCAGAATATTCCCCTTACCCTTAAATCCTTCGCTGCCCAAATCGTGACTCATCCACCAACGTCCTCCCGGTGCAGATATCTTACCAGTTGGGCTGGAATAGTCCAACGTGTATGCTATCTGGACGGTACAAAGGTTTCCACACCAACTTGGGAAAAAGGGAAAAAGACGCTGCCATAGCTCGTGGGTCCCTTGTACCCCCCAGTTAATGAATTAATTTCGAAGGCTGGCTGAGGACCCTCGAACAAGTTAAAGTCACTGGAAACTTCAAATATTGCTGAGCAAAATAAATACAGATTTTTAATTTAAAGAAGAATTCTCCGATGACATGGTTGAAGGAAGAAATTGAATTTATTTCCCAAGCTTTCGGCACGGAACTCGTGTCATCATCAGGGACAAAATATTTGGAAATTAAAACACGATATGTCACATACATGAGAGTTACATTAATTTGTTGTTTATAATTGTTGTCACGGGTGTTTGATGAGTGGCAGCATTAAAGATGACCAAATTGGATTCAGTTGTTTTCCGTTGTCCTGATTTATGGCGTTGCGACATTTTCTGATATATAAACTTTCAAGAAATTTTCTATGAAAATTTCTTCTCTCTGGAGTGATTAGACTTGCTGAGTCTTGGGTCATGATGTGGTTTGGATTTTCAAGGATGTGGAGTGCTACGGCAGATTTTACGTTTTTCTTTCTGATGTCATTCATGTGTTCTTTAATTCTTTGCTGTAGGGGGCGACTGGTCTCACCTATGTATATAGCAGGACATGAACATCTTACTTTGTAAATTCCTACCTTATCTGGTGATGGATTTTCCTTGTGTGAGCAAATGATCTGTTTTATTTTCTTTCCCGTTAAATACCCAAAATCACAATTCAGTTTTTTGCGTAGATAGGATGTTAGTCGATGTGTGATTGGTCCCATGTAAGGAAGGATGATCCTAGGAGGTTTTTCTTCGGGAATTTGGTCTGTGTTGAGTTGGTTTTGGAATTTGGTTTTCATTCTGTTGATTCTTTTTTGAATTAGGTTTCTTGGATAACCGTTCTGTTTTAATGATTCAGTTATAGTTTGTAGTTCTTCTTCTAAAAACTCATCATCGTAAATTATGTATAAAGATCTATAGATCTAATTGGAGTAAAAATCTCATTTTTCCCCGACCACATCCCCTGGCGCAGGGGGGGGGGGGTGCGACACAAATCAGAAGCCCTAAATTTCACAGTATCTCATGTATAGGTTCAATTTCAGTGAAAATCTCATTTTCCCTCGACCACACCCCCTGGGTGTGAGGGGGGTGGTGATTAAGTTAAGAGGATCCTCCCCCCGAGGTCATAAGTATGATGCCGCAAACCGATCTCGATGCGTTCAATATTATAGAATACAACATGATATTTTTAAGTGTGCAGCCAAAAAATGCAACAGCCAATCACCGACTTCCACTGGTTTGGGAGGACGTCGGCTTAGCATTTATGTTCCGTTTACTGTGTATAATCGAAAAATTTTGGACACTCTGGTACATATTTCAATTCATTTAATTATGTTATTTCGATACATAATTCTTTGGTTATATTATTGCACATTTTGGTTGGATAAAAAATCGATTGGTTGCAACTTTCATGTAGATACAGGCTGACCCAACTGTGCAAACCCGTTTCGCATCGATTTCACCGAATTTGATAAGAAAAATTGCAAGTTGAATTCGGGGTGCAAGGATAAATCTAGCATGTATATTTTTAAATTACATGCACCCATCCCCTTTTCAGAAATTTGAGAAGGAAATTTGAAAAAATGTGAAAGTCAATGCACACTGGGTAAAAATTAGACCACAGGTTGCATTTGCCAATCTAATTTCCCTGCCCCTACGAGCATTTTGATGCATCAAAAGTTTCAAAATTTGAAAATTGGCGGTTTTTTGTCATACACAGAAATCGTTAAAAAACGCATTGTTCCCACACTTTTACTTCTGACAACCTGATGCCAGATTTTGCTACCTGAGAAGAGCTACATTTTCACCTTTTATTGTCCGAAGTAAAAGTGTGGGACAATGAGTTTTTTGGGGTCAAAGTTTCTAAAGGAGTGGCTTATACGGCAAGTGCCGTAACAAACTTATGGCTGCTTATGAAAAAAAATATATAGATAATTGCAATTACTTAAGTTATTAAAATTGTCCCAAATTAAAAACTAACGCTCCTTTGAATTTATACTGATGATATCCAATCAAGACCACCATACGGCACTGTGAAGTCACAGTATGCAGTGGTGGTGGATACCCACCAGAATCCGAGTTTCTCACTTTCTCTTCTTTGAATATGGAAACAGGGTTTGTTGCACAGTTGGTCTGATTTCCCTCTGTAGTGTTGCGAAAAGTATCGCTTTTGGTTGGAAGAAAAAAAAAATTGGTTGGGTACTATAAATTTGACCCCATGATTTTTAAGCGAATTGACCTCTCTTGATACTGAGGAAACGATCACAACCACTCCAACTACAACCACACCAACTACAACCACACCAACCTGATGCACAATCAGATTCGGTCCGAATGCGTTCCACGGGTGGCTAGCGAATTCGGCCCACATGCGGATCTTGCCGCAAAAAGATTTCGCCCCGAATGCGTAACCCGAATTCGGTCCGTATGCGACTTTCAGCATTCTATGCGCTTTCGGAGTACAGCTTTCTATCCGCGTGCTATATATCTCACTCGCTCCGAATGATATTTCCCGAATTTAAAATAATTAAAATACACAAGTCGAAAGTTCACAAATCAATTTACTTTATTTAATGTAGCAACGGAATACAAATAAACTTACATTTATATTGCATCCTAATATACTGACAAATTATATCATTTTATAATACCACCTAGAATGGAAACTTACTTGAAAATTTAAGAAGAGAGCTTTGGTGTTTTCCCAGCTCATATCGGATACAACATGATTGGTTTATTTTTGATTACTTTTGACTTCCTGGACCTGATGGCCAAGAACACTGGGCACTTATTGGCACTTAACCAGTTTGCTGACACATCCGAAACCAAAGTTTTATCTTCTTCTACGAAAACCACGGCAACGGGTTTATTCTTTAAACTATTCACTGTTTTCTGGGACGTTGAGTAGCGAAATCAGCGACCGGTGCTAAGTGCTAATAGCGAAAGGCATGGCATATAGTTTTTAAAAACCCCGCTGCTGAGCTGAGCTCGCCCCGCATTCGGGCCGTAGTCGGCAGCAGAATTCGGATAGCGAGAGAAAATCCGAATTCTGCTCGATAGCATAAATTTGTCGGTTAAACGAAATCTTTTTTTAGCTTTGAAACCGAAGGTGGCCCACCCGCTACGGTGAGTTACTACATAGAATCTGAAATTAGAAATCTATCCGTAGTCGTAATTGAGGCGATAATTTCGGCCGCCTCTAAACCGAAAACATCGTATGCGGGACGCATTCGGGCCGAATCTGATTGTGCATCGGGAACTACAACCACTCCAACTACAACCACTCCGACTACAACCACTCCGACTACAACCACTCCGACTACAACCACTCCAAGTACAACCACTCCGACTACAACCACTCCAACAGTGGAGTTATGGCCTAACCGCTTGTTGCGCAATCGTTACCGACATTTATAATTCCACCCCCACCCAAATCCACCCCCATTCCACCCCACAATTTTTATGGAGCAACATAAGATTTTATTTCATATTGGGGTATCGTTCGTTTCTTATCCTTAGCGGCAATACGAGCAGGTTAGGTTCATCCATAGATCGGATATTTTGCGTACTCCGTACTCCGACCAGCCATGCGTACTCCGGCCTCCGCGTACTCTGTACTCCAGAAAAAGTCGCGTACTCCGGCCTCAGGAGGCCGGAGTACGTACTCCAAGCCCGGAGTACTCCGATCTATGGGTTCATCTAGGTACAGGGAAAGTGTGAAATGCTTAGTTAGCTAACCTAGCTAGCTAAGCTAGGTACAACCTAGGTAGCTTAGCTAGCTAGTTAGCTAGCTAGGCTATGTAGCTCTGTTAGCTAACTAGGCTAGGTAGCTCTGCTAGCTAACTAGGCTAGGTAGCTCTGCTAGCTAGGCTAATTAGCTGTGCTAGCAAGTTGACCTAGGTGGCTTTGTTAGCTAGCTAGGGGTAGCTAGCCAAGCATTCCTCGCTTTTCTCGTACTTAGTTGAACCTAATCAGCTCGCTTCGCTCTCTAGTTATGAAAGATACCCCAATATGAAATAAGATATCACGTTTTCCCAAGGTATCTCACGTTGACCACATGGATGGGTCCGGGTGAGGTGGATTTGGGTGAGGGTGGAATTATAAATGCCGACCGTTAACCAGTGTTACCAACCAGGAGGACCATATCAATGCATTTTTGTACTTTTTCCACTGATATCAGCTACTCAGCTTCTTCATATTTCTAAACTTTAATTATACTGTTTAGCTCTACCGGTCGCCACATTTTACTGACAATGGAGGCGCAAACCATGTTCAGCCCAGATTATTTTTTGACCATGTTAGTTTGGAAGAGCAAGTCTCTAGAAACAACATTTGGTTCACCACTTGGGCAGATGCGCAAAATTCAGCAAGTTATAGGCGCCACAAGTTCGCAAAAAGTGGTCAAGAGTGAGCTCACGCTGGACCTTGCATCAAAAATCATGCGTTTTTGCGAACTTGTGGTGCCCATAACGTGCTGAATTTTGCGCATCTGCGCAAGTGGTGAACCAAATGTTGTTTCTAGAGACTTGCTCTTCCAAACTAACATGGTCAAAAAATAATCTGGGCTGAACATGGTTTGCGCCTCCATTGTGAGTCGCTTTGGAAAATAGAAATGGTGCCTGGCTCCCAATCCTACACATTTTCAAGCCCTAACAATTTGTACCCGATGGCAGGTGGGAACATTAAATATACTGGGTAGGCCAATACTTCTACTAACTGCATCAACATTTCTTCGATCTACGTAATACTAAAATTTCATTTTTATTTACATAGAGTGTTCAACGATGTCGGAGTCGATCTAAACCTTATCATGCCTCATAATAAGAGTGATCCGGCTCAAAGGTGGCAATTTTTTAGATGCCCGGAATAATATGTATGGGACTATGTTAATCAAATAAATATGCAAATTACTAAACGTCTAAATAATCCGTTTAGGGAACCTTCATAAACATGTAACGCAAAATTTACGATTTGTATATCCCTCGTAACCGCTCTCACATCCTTTTAACATGTGGGACAAGTTACGTATTTTATGCACGTCCCCTGAGCTTAGTACTTACAATGGAACCTTTTTTCAAGCTACACCGGGATTGACTAACGAATTATATCAAAAAATCAAGCCAAAAATTAGGGATCACATGGCGCTTATCGTTCCGTTGAATGGCCCCTTTGAAGAAAATTATTAGGGGTCAAAGTTCGCACGAGCGCCTTGGTTTTCGCCCCGTGGAGGAAAAAGCAAGGGAAAATTTGCTCAAAAATTGAACTTAACCGCCAATATTTTTCTTCAAAGGGGCCATTCAACGGAAAGAGAAGTGTCACGTGACTACTAATTTTTGGCTTGATTTTTTGACATAACTCGCTAGTCGATCCCGGTGTAGCTTGAAAAAAGGTTCCATTGTTAGTACTGAACTTAGTTGAATAAAAATTATGAAACATTCCGAAATTATTGGAAAAATCTAAATGCACATTTTCCAAGCATAAACCAGGCTCCTTTGAACCCATCACCTTTAATTGCATACTTTATTAATCGACTATCACGAAAATGTTTGGACAATGATCCAAAAAAACACGCTCGAAATATTTACAAATAAACCCGTGAAAACACTTTAATTACACCAAGCAAAATAGGATTAGAATTAGCTCGATTCGATCGGAGCTCTTCCTTGGTATGTATGTATACGTACCTATATATCTCATCTGGCAATGAGTTTGTGAATGAATTTGTCGTCACAAATTTGGTCCGGGACATGCAGATGGTGGAACGATAAGTAAAAATTGGAAAAACTAATCATCCGCTATTCATGGATTAAATATTTGAAAATAGGGAAATAAATATTCATTAATTGTTCAATCTTCATTTATATTCATCTTATCTCAAATTCGCCTTATTACATTAATTTTTCAATATATATGTAAATATACATATGCACCACGTGCATTAAGCATAGCGTGATAAATTATGAAAATTATTGATTAATTTTAAATGAATATGAAATGAATAAATATTTATTCAAGATTTGTTCACTCAAAAATTAAAAACAAACTCGGTTATTCATCGAATAATGAATGACTAATCTATGCACTCGCTAATGTGCACATGAGAGGTTACACTCGGTGTCGAAAGATTGACGCCATTCTAAAACTGTAAAGTTTTCGTATTTTTAAACCAAAGTAACTCTTGTCCAAAAAATAATGAGCTAAAACGAAAATAGCACCAAAATGGTTGCTAATTCTCAATTTTCAAAGATTCAATTTCTACACCGGCATCCAGGTGTCTAAATAGGTATATTTCGCAGTAATGATTAGATCATTGAACTAAAGTCCAATTAAATATTCCATGTATTTCTCCCCGATAAGGATTCATTTCAACGGAAAATTGGCCCAGATAAAAACTCAACTAATTTTAATTGTCTGTAAACCAGTTCAAATTCAGTGAAATTGAAAACCTTATCTTTCCATTGATGAGCTCTTATCAATACTTGGACGTTGTCGATGACGGCAGCATTGATACATATGCCAATCTGGTATTGGAAAATTCAATGAATTGCAATTTAGGTATTGGGGGCATTCACGTTCAACAAGTAAACTCGAAATAACCTTTGTTTCAACCAAATTCTTAGAAAGAAGAGTGCAAATATAAATATTTTCGTTTTATAAAAACAGTTATTGCAAAATCTTCACGGATTCCTGTTAAAATTGTGTAGGTTACACACGCCATGGTATTAACGTTGCCACTGGAGGGTGACAAATTTAAATTTCGCGGGAATTGTTACTACCATCTAGCGTCAAATAGATATTTGCATAGCTTCCGAAGGGATAATGATTCCTTAAAACCATTTTGCAACCCCATTACTTGTTTGCTTATCGAATTCCTGCAAGTTAATGCCAAGTATACCCGATAACGGTATACGGAACCAACCCACCCATCAACTCCCGCCCATTTACTACCGCCCGTGGTCATCTCCGATCCATCTGCTCCTACTAGTCCTCTCCCGACCTAATTATTTGTCGCCCGTAATCATTTTCAAATATCCGAAGTTTCTGATGCCATGACACGATGGCGTGAATACCCCTAATACCAGATACTAAGGAGAGTGGTATAAAAATCAAACCGTCCAAGTTGAATCGACACAGAAAGAAGTACGTACAGCTCAAAGTTACTTTCATATCACTTACACACCTGAAATTACTTATCATGTGTCAAACAAACTTCAAACATTTTTTCTACCTCGTATTATTCATTATAGTCAGAAGCTCTACCGCACTGCATAACGTTGCTGACGTCGAGGTTAAAGTGTGACATAAAATATTTACTTTTTAAAATTTATTTATTGTACAACGTAACAATCGTTAAAGGTATGTTCCAAAAATTAAACAGTAATTAATTTTGTGTTACCTAGGTTTATGAGTGTCCCCCGTGGGAAGGCGTCCCCACGTACTGGCCTTATCCCTACGACTGCCGGAAGTTTATTGAGTGCAGCAACGGGGAAGCGATTGTTCACAGTTGTCCCCCTTTTACCGTGTGGGACCAGGCCTTGTTCGTTTGCAATCATGAGAGTGTGACGCCTTGCCTTATTGTGACGACGGAGACGCCGTAAGATTTTATTATTAAGTAACGTAAGCTACGCATTGTGATCGTTTTGTCCGTCCTAAAATAGCATATGTACCTCCAGAACTGGTGCATTACGTAAATACTAAAATAAGCTTCATACATACATAGATAAATAATTTATGCAATTATGCAACAATTTATAATTTATTTGAGAATATCAATTTATTAAGGGCATCTACATCAACTACATCAGGATCTACGACAGCCACACCAACTACAACTACACCAACTACAACTACACCAATTACAAATACACCAACTACAACTACACTAACTACAACCACCACACCCACGCCAGACCCAGTCATGGATGGAGGGGTATACACCATCGTTAATTCAGCGACAGGGGTATGAATGTAGTGCCAATTTTTAAGAATTGTAACAGCTCCACACTTTAACTACAGATGGCGATCAGCGTTTATAAATCAAATCTTACCAACGGAAACAAAGTCCATGCCTTGCCTCATCTGCCAAGTTGTTCAGATTTATCTCAAGTATGGCAATTACGAGGTAACTGTAAGCCAACTACACTCTAAAAAAAATCCGGTAATAAATTCTTAATACCACGTATTACCGTCTGTCTGGTAAGATTAGGTATTACCATCAGCGGTAGTATGGTAACGCTCTATTACTATTTCTTCCACCAAGTGGTAGCAAAGACTACCAGCTTGGTTAAGTTGAGCATCTCCACCACCTCGGCAAGGCAATATTTAGTAGAGTTTACCAGTCACCTTTGATTAACTTGCTAACCCTACATAAGTAAACCAGTGGGCAAATCGATGGCGAATCGCTCATCGAAATCGTAACGATTTCATAGCGATTATAGAACTACTTGGCCGCCGATTCCCTCGGACATCGCAGGGATCTCTCAGCGAAATAGAGTAATTGCGAAAGATCGTTGTGAAATCGCTACACTGCAAAAAACGCCCATCGGTATTTCAGGACGGCCGTATCAAAAATCGCATTGCGAGCCATCCGTACTTAACCGAAGTACAATCGCAAAGTGCCAATGTACTCAAATTTAAGTACGGATGGCTCGCAATGCGATTTTTGATACGGCCGTACTGAAATACCGACGGGCGTTTTTGCCGTGTACGATGTTGCAGACATGACTCACCTGCGAACAGATTTCGGTGTTCATTATTGCTACTCTTTAAGAATGGGTGTGGCGAGAATGCCACTAGATGGGTGCAGCTGGTGGTAGCAGTGTATCATCCCTCCACTATTATCTAATTAATGCCGCCAGTAGTTAGTCATACATGCATGGGAATGGACATGAATATTAGAAGATGTAAAATCCCTATGACCGTAATGTATTATTCATATTTTAACCTTCGTTTACCCTATTGGCTTGAACGTGTGCCTCTTGTAGATTTTACAACACGGTCAAGTTGGTTACAAAGAATACGATGCTATAATTGTTAAACCAAATAGCGGCACTGCCTTAATGTATATATTTTCAGATCCCTGGTCCGATGTGGACTATTACTATATTCGCACCGGCCTTAGGAATCAGTATGGACAGCAGTGGGGATTTTCATTGCGCGCTGGTGAAAATATGACCCCAGACATTCAGGTAAACTTATCGATTGTAATATACATTCACAAACAGCTGGTAATGAACCATAACCCTGAGTGTTCAACAGCTTTCATTACAAATTGTCGCCAGATGAAAGCAATAATATCTGCGAAATTTAAATTAAGTTCCATCGGGGGAGAAAATTGGTATTATAATGTAAAAAATTTGAATTTAGCGGTTATGAGATATTATCAACGTCTGTCGATATAATCTACTCACAATGGAGGTCTCCCAACGTATGCTCACAGATTTGGACGAAATTAGTGTCAATCAATCACACATATAATTAGTATGAAATTTGCAAATGGAACTATCTGCCAATGCGCAGGTTTGACGGAGATATTTGCATCCAAAGCGGGAAAAATGCGCAGCAAATTTTTAAAATGAAAAATTTGCCAGCCTTGGGAGTGCGTTGTCTCCTCTTTTTATGCAAATATCTTCGATAAATTTTAGCATTGGCAGATAGTTCCATTTGCAAATTTCATGCTAATTATATTTATGATCGACTGACGCCCAAATGGCCCTTGGCCCAAATCTGTGAGCATACGTTCGGAGACATCCATTGTCAGTGTGGTAAGCATATTAAGTATTTAGTTACACGCAGGGTTACCATTTGTTGCTGCGTTATTTCGAGCCCAATTCCACAATTTGTCTTGTACTTATTTATGTGTATATACATACATACGTTGTGTATTTCCTTATGCATGTAGGTAGACATGGGGACGTATGGGGTTTGGAAGTTGGACCCAGTTCCGGGAACTCGGTTTTACACACTTTATCAACGTAATTATGGCAGGTTTGGCAACATTCGATATACCGGGTGAGTAGCAAGAGTTATTAACTAATAACTCTAGCTAATCGAGGACTAATACACTAGTCCTCGATTGTACTAGTACAATCCACATACATATGTACGAGGGGGGTTAAATAGCGAGCTAGAATAACTGGGAAGAAAACTGATTTCAACAGAATCTTTTGCACAATAAGAAACCTCAGACACATTTAAGCGTGTCGAATTTTTTTCCAACTGCCCCCGCTAATTGCATACATCGGATACACTAAAATTTTAAGGTTTAAAGTCTGTCGAAAAATTGAGTTCTGACCACACATTATCACAGTGAAGCAAGATCTTTGGAGTAAATAAATATCTAGGTGTCTAAAATTCATAATCTTGTGCTTAAAATTTAGAATGCAGAGTGCCACACTTTACAATTTAGTCCAATAATTTTAAAGTGAACGAAAACGGGAATCCCTAAATTTAACTTTGTCACTCCCAAAAATTTGAGTTTGTGTTACGATTTTTTGACAAGATTTAATCAAGTGGGTCGAGCGTACGAGTTGCAACCACATGATTTCAATGTAGATAAATAATCTAGCGCTTAATTTAATTTGCAGAGTGGCCAACGACATCGGATTCGATCTGGATATTGTGGAGCCCAATAGTACTGTTTCTGAACAACAATGGGGATTTGTGAGATGTCCAGGATATACATAAATAATTGGCAAAAAATTGGTCGTGCAATAAAACAACTTCTAATTTCAGTAAATTCTGACTAAACTTTATTTACTTGAGAATCTGTCATTAACGTTATGTCATTAGTTTATATCTCTCATTGTACAATGCTTTCCTATGTTCTGCCCATTTTGCATGATGCCTAATAGTATGAAAGTGAATAAATTTCAAACCTTTTACGTAGAAATACTAAAAGTTGTTACGAAATCGAAATTCATGTAAGAATTAAAGTTTTGGACTTGGTGGAAGAATGAAATGGTTGAAAAATCAAAGGGCATCTATGTACGTTTATAAATACCCGGTCAAAGGGTTTGGAAGCGAATTTAAGTATGCATTGCTTAACCTTGATACAGAACAGTTACAAAAATACTTACTTATATATCTCAAACATGTGAAAAGTCCGTTTGTTATCCCATATTTTAAAAATTCTGTATTATAACAATGTATTCAAATATTGATACATATGCATCAACTCATGCCCTGATTAAAGCTCCTTCAAGATGTTCAATAAGATGCAGGTAAGCGGTAGAGCAAAAATGTACCTTAATCAACAATCATGGCTAGCAAAAATTCTAGTAGATATTTAGCCGGAGTCAGGGCTTATGGAACCATCATGTCCGTCTGTCCGTCCGGGCTCATGATAACTTTCATTTTTAAGCTTTCTGATAGGCATTTAATTCCAAGCCAAAAAGTTGGCTTGGGTGGAAACTACAAGTTGGCCTGACTCGGGCTATATCAACTCTGCACTGTAGGTTTCAAACTAGTACACCCAAAATAGGTAGAGCTCCGATCGCGTCGAGTCTACTCAACTCGACAAGTTACACCTGCCAAAATTGCTTCTTACTTTTACAAATATTAATTCGAATCTGTCGCACTAAATGTTATCTGATACCTTAGGTTACAATAAAGTACTGTTCATTTCATTAAATATTACCTGTATTATTATTGTGTTATTATAAAGAATAATTTCCATCATATTAAACTATTCATTTTGTAACATCTGGTACGAGATGGATCCATTTCGTTGCTATGACTTTATCCCCAAGTGCGACTGGACATCCGCCTTGATAAATTATTCATACTTAAGCTAAAAACCAATTACACAAAATTATTAAACATCAAAATCCCAACGTACTGTGCAAGCTTTCCTCAATCTGGGTTCCATCCGTTAAATGGATATTATTCCAGATCAGGGCCGCACCCTTTAACGGTGAGACAGCCACGCCCAGCTCGGGGAATGCAGTCGCGCCTCCAAGTTCCACGTCGGTCAACTGGTCAAAGGGGAAAAAACACGTTCATTCTTAAAAATTAATGGACGCATTAGAGTTCAGTCTTTTAAATGAGAGACTGGCCTCCACATGTTTTGTATGTAAGAAAATTCTCTTATTTAGAAAATCAAACCGTACATAGTTCCAACCGGAAGAAATACATCTGGTGACCGATTTCTGAACTATTTAAAGCGCGCAAGTAGCAACTAGCATGAAATACAAAACTGCAAGAAAGTGTTTTTTTGCAGATTATTTGATCTGCTTCCCGTCGCTATATTTTATAGCGCACGTCACAAGATGGCACATAGCACTTTTTGGAAATTTCTTAAACCTTACATTTTTTTTGCTTTGCAGCGCAAGAAATGTAACAAACTTTCAAGAAACGAAATGCTATTTCTAAATTAGAAATTCAAATGTCGTCGAAAGAATGAATTAGACAAAGACTTTACAGATAATCCGCGTCGGTACTGAATAAATACGCAAATTAGTTTTTAAGAACAACATGCGGTTTAAATTGGTATAAAAACATTATCGGGCTTTTTCGCATTAAATAGTGTTGCGAAATCCTGTTTTAAACCGGTAACATGTCTGACCTCCAAGCCACATGAATTTAAAAAAATTCATATCTTACGTAAACCATGAAGGTTATCACTCTTTTCCACCTTTTCGCCTCGCTGGTGAGATTTGTCTGAAATAAATTGGGAAATCCTGGTTTTTAATTTCACTGTATCGCTATTCAAGGACTTTGAGGGTAATTCCTTAAAATTGCATCAAGATGTTTTGAGTTTTGAAGTAAAAGCGACTTTTGATACTTGATAATGCAAAATTAATTTTTGTTACTGCAAAAGAATCGCTTTCACGAAAAAAGTTATAATTCATTTCCCATTTTTCAGCAATATAATAAAATTTAAATTATTTAACAATAAATTTAAATTGCCTTAAAAATGATTTTTTCTCAAATCCATAATGCTGAGTAATTTATGGGATCATAAACTCGCTTTATGTAAAAGAATGATAATTATTTGTATTACAGAACAATCGCTTTTTAATAAAAAGTGGTAAATCATTTGCCATTTTATAAATTTCCTAAATAAATTTTATAAATTTATAATTATAAATTTATAAATAAAATTTAAATTTAAATATAAATTTTATAAAGATGAGTTCGCATTTTTTTTAATCCATGGTTTCATTGCACAAAAAAATTGGTTCCGTGTTAAAGGTTGCATTAATTTCAAATGTCATTTGAAAGTGCGTAGAGTGAGATACAAATCTATACCATATCAATTTGTACTTCTGTTTACCGTGCAATTATTTCTGCGTGTCACCTCATTTGCATATTTTGACGCATCCGCGAGAGACATAAAGTTTACTCACCCCCGAATCGCCGAAAATGGACATAGTTAGATTTATGCAAACGAGGTGAGTCCCCCATGCGAGAGTACTACAAGCGTGTCCTTAACTTAAGTTTTGAAATGTACCAAGTCAAATACCGTATAAGAATCCTTATGTAGGGTGAAATGGGATCCTATATAACTGTACTGCGCAACCTGTAATTTTTCCGCCTTCTCCGGATTTATAAACTTCAGCCCCGTCAGCATTTCGACGTCCTTGTAGAGCGGGAGCAAAAATGGAGTTTGTGTGGACTTTAGGGTCGTCTACGAAAATTTCATAATTAAATATCCACCATTCAACGTCATGAAGACCCAAAATGTTCGACGGGACTTTTTAGATTTTACCTGAATTGAGGTTCGCTCATTTGTAAATTCGTCCTTATTCAAATTATCCAACGTCACCATGGACCGTCCCATTTTTTCGTTTGCCAATCCGTAAAGTTCAGAAATCATGCCGTTTCCTACCGCGTTGTGAATGAGGCGCAAATTTATCCGCGCGCTTGTCCAAACAGACTCTATCTTGAGCGGAGCAATTAGAAAATAAGGATTGGATCCCGTTTCATACCAGCATTTCAACTTGGCCTTTTCACTCTGATTCTGTTTCAAGCGCAAAACAAATTATACATCTTTTAATACTAGGGCGAAATTCAACTAAAATATTGGGACGCGAATCATGTTCACCCCAGATTATTTTTTGACCACCTTCCTTTTCTAGATTTATAAACAAAATTTATGTAGTACGGAACTTGAAATTCAGATTTACGGGTGCCGTGATTTCGAAACAATGGTTGATTTTACGTGGAATTGATTGTGTCAGTTGCTGCCACAGGGGACAGATTCCGCTCGAAACCCTCAAACTTGCGGCGCCCATGAATGACTGGCCCATTTTTTCGCATTTGCCGAAGTATTTAAATTTTTTTAGAAAGAGTTAACCTGTCAGAAGATAGTGGTAAAAATAATCTGGGTTGAATCTGGTTTGCGGTTCTATTTATATTATCGACAATTAGCATCGCGAAATTTAAACCATAAAAAATTAAGTTACTAACTTGAAAATTACTTCCCGCACAAAGATTGGGAAGTGTTAAGGTTTCACTTGGCGGGATCACGCCATCTACCACTTGTTGTCGAAGTTTCGTGAAAGTTTGCATGGGCAGGGGTTCTCCGGATTGGATCGGTTCAACAAATAATCCGAGACGCTCGGACTCCGTTTCGTTTGAAAGTTCCGCCCATTTCTCGTTGTGCTGGTAAAATTAAGTAAGCAAAATTATCTTTGTTTTGTTTAATTACTAATTGTATTAACTAACTAAATCTTAATTGGTAATTAAATACGTACGTAATTGCTACAACGAATTACCTTTGAAATAGCGTCCAAGAGCAGACCAGATACTTGAAGTTTTAAATTAGCCGGGGCTATATCCAACGCTAGCGATAGGTACTCAATATTCATGTCGAACATATGCAAATTTTTTGCCATATTGGCCAAAATTATGATTTCTTCCAGCGAAAAGGACAAGTTGAAGCTATATTGGGCAAGTTTTCCTGGAGTGAACTGTGATAAATGGAACAAAGTCGTATATATTATTGGTAAATTTCTGGATACAATTGAAACCTATGTAGTGCTGTTCACAAGCTCGGTACGATTGCCACGAATCGAGCTGAGCTTAATCCCAGCCGAGCCGAAAGCAGCTCGACAGCATAATTTCTGGTTAACGAACTTGTTGGGGTCAGCTCGTTTGCTAAATTTGCATTTTAAAACCCGAAGCAGCTCGGCTCGGTTGCTAAAATTCAAGCTCAAATCTTTCTTCGAGCCGAAACCGGGCAAGTATTTTAGCCCGACTTGTTACAATGCGATTCAAGTTCCTCAGCTCGGCTTGTTAGAATACCAGCTCGAGCTTAATTCCTTAAGCTCAGCTCGTAAACATTTTAGCTCGAACCCAGCCCAGCTCGAATGCATACACAAGTTAGCTCGGCTCGTTCAGGCTCTAATCGACCTGACTCGGCTCGTGAACCGCACTAAAGTAATTACCTGTGGAACACTCATTTGGTAAGTTTCCTGAAGCCGTAACATCCCATCCGAGGCATCGGCGATGTCCTGTCTTGAAGGAAAGTTTAACCCGAGGGAGGAAACGAATTGATCAAAAAGTGATATAAATACCACAGCAAAGTTTTCTGAAATATTTAATAAATAATTTTTTTAATGACAAAGTTATTATTAAAAATTTAGTTGTATAAATTCGAAGCAAAATTTACATGAATTTATACCTGTTCGCTTTCATTCATTTGACTGATTAGATATGCATGATAGTGAATGATAATGCATGAGAATGAAATTCTTATCATTTGAATGAAAATAACTAAAAAGTTGTCTGTCACATGTATCAGATGAATGACGGTGAATGAAGGGATTTTTCGCTGCTTTTATTTTTCACAATATGCTTAATACATTTGCGAAATAAGAAATGAAGTTCGATGAAGTTCAATCAAGTGAAATAAATTTGAACGAAAATGTCTGAATATGAAGGACATTCTTCAGTTAGAAATCAGGATTACTCACTTTGCATGAAAATTAAATTTTTGAACAGGTTTGACTCTATGAACCAAAGTGGTATTGATACCGGTAGAAGTTTAATACCAAGCGGTTGTACGTACATATGTACATTCCTTACAGAGTTTAACAAATTACCATTTTCCTTGGAGCAAGTCGAATTCGCCAGAGCGAGACGTTTCCCCACGCGATGAATTAATTTATAAGCGGAAAACGGGTTTTCCTTATGCGGGCCGGCATCTCCTGAACACACCGGAACCCGATCCAGATACCTGCACATAAGAAAAATCATTTGAAACCAGATAACAAGTTGGAGGAAGTTTTAATACACATAAATAAATTTATAACTTAAATACAAGAAAACGTTCAAAATACTTTGACAGCTGGTATAAAATGTTAAAAGTTTCTTCTTTTATGAGACACAGTATGCAAAAAAACACGTTTGAAATACCGTAGTTATAAACTCTCCTTAATATCGAAGCTCGAATCCGATTCTACATTCTTGCTTCCTTAATTTAGAATTCAGACTGGATTTACTTTTCTAAAAGGTAACATAATTTTGAAAAGTGTGCAGAACTTTTAGATTGTATTTATTTTTTAAAAAGGTAACGCTATTTTTAAACTGTGTTTCAATTCTGGTGATTGCAGCGGGAAAGTGACGTGCCGATTTACTTAACATGGGCACGTGACTTTCCCGCTGCAATCACCAGAATTGAAACACAGTTTAAGAGTGCATCCCTGTTAATTTGGCACATACCTTAATACAGCCGTCTGACAAGGCGATTTGCAATTTTCCTTCCCTCCACACGAAGCGACCATTTCCCTCAACAAGGGCACTATTTTGTCTTCCTTGTTCCCCAATTTTCGCAAAAGCTGAACATCCAGGGTGAACATCCCACCCTCCACTTTCCTCCCGACTTCTTCTCCGAGAACAAGATTGGTCGTCAAAACGACCAAAAGTAGAAAATTCATGGTAAATTTCTCTAACAACCTAAAAATTCTTGACGTTATAAATTCTTCTAAACTGTACTTAAGCAAGTCTAAAGTTCTAAATGATTGTGACTGCGTTTAAATATTTACATACTTAATTAGGTTTTATGACTTTCTACACAAGTTAAAATCTATTGTTCTATTCAATACAAAAGGCGTTAGGACATGGTTTTGACGAATTTGCGGGTGAATATCTCTGGCGGGGAGTTGAATTTTGAACTGATTTTTGGTCAGTTGCAAGATAATACTCTCAAAAAGATATATTTAAAATTTTAGGCCGATAGCTTTATAAATGCCCCCTCCAGTGCCCCCAGAGTTGGAAGGAGCCAAAAAAACACTTTCCAAACTGAATTTCTCATATAGCATGATAACCTATGAGGTCAGAGGTGAATGATTGTTAATATTACAACCCTTGATAATCATTGCATGTAATAATAAAAGAATCTACATCAATTACATAACGTTGGGCCTCCATCGTCGCTGATACTTTTTCATGAAAATTGATAAATCGGACCGTGCACAGGAAAATTGACCTGCTGACCTTGAAAGCGGACCCACTGGGTCAAATGAAGATTGAGGGTAAAGCTCTAAGTGTCCCAAATAATATTAAATTAAACAGTGAAGATTTTGTGTAAACAGTTCTGGAGAACGACCCTAGCTAATCAGCTGTCGCGGAATCCTAAAAACTCGTGAACTTATTTGGAAAATTAATGGTCAAATTTTTTAGAAAATAAATTTTACTAATCTTTTTGTGTCCCCTACTGCAGAACTATTTTATCTACAAGGTACAAGTGACAAAATAATAAAATTATTGCGTTTTGGTTAGTTAAATTATTTCTGAAGTTCGACATCGAAAACGACGGGAACTTTTCCAAAAAGTTTATAAGGTCTGATGAAAACTCAGTCCGTGGGGTTTAACCACTTATCAAAATTGTGTCAAAAGTACTTACAGTGCAATATACTATATGTACCTTGGATAAAAACCACGTTAGGGATTTTTAGCATCAAAGTCGTAAAATGTGGGGGCCTTAAAAGTCGAGGAGTTGCGTTCACGAGAGTATTCCATTAGGACAAGTATGAAGCTAGACTACAAAAGGGACTTAAAAGATAAGCATGAGATAAAAGTGGTTTTATATAGTGAAAAGCATGCTAAGTCCCTTAAAAATAGTCGCAAAGACGATTTTTGCATCAGGACCTAAGAAAAAAATATTTAGTTCAACGCCATTTTATAAGAACACTGGTTTGGAAAACTAAAAAAGGACACCTCTCCAAATTTGACCTTGCCTCATTTCGCAGAGTACACAAAATCGGAAGCCAGATATGCTTACCTATAGTTTGAGACATGGGCTTTCACATAAAAAAAGTTAGAAATCTCTACGACTAAAAACCATCCCGCAATTAAGGTATGAATTCGTCAAAACCATGTCCTAACGCCTTTGGTATGCTTTAGTCCAATTTCACTTTTTTATGGTACAGGGGCCATGCATAAAGCATGGGACGACCTCAACTTTTCGTATTGTGGTCGTATTTATTTATCTGTTCAGCCTGGTACTTGTCCAGCCATGAATATAAAAGGGCTAAGATTATGCGAAAACCTATCTCACACTTTGTTAGTGGTTCCTGATTTGTTAAAAAAAACTTTTTTTAAACTTGCAGCCATTATTTTTCGTATTTTATTATCACATTGACACAATCGGAATTGTCGTATGTTATGCGAGACACATAATTTAATGTTCAAAAATTTATATTCTTTACAAATACTTCTGTATGTATTACAGCAATAGCATCAAGTACATTTTCTGTATAAGAAATTTAAGGTTGATTATACCGTTTTTATGACAAAATTATTTTATTTTAATCGAATTGTGGGGCGCGATGGATCCATTTCGTTCCAATGACCTTTCTCCCAAGACCAACGGGACATCCACCTGTGCAATTAAATATTTAACCAATAAAGATATGTATGTATGTATCACTAATTAAATAAACCGTTATAAACGCATGCAACCAAGGGGTAAAATCAGTGTCATACACTAAAAACTAAAGTTTGTCAAATCAGCACCGCCGGTGTCAATATATGGCTTAACCGCATTGGTTAAAATTGTGACTCCGAGTGGTAATCAAATTTTTCTGTCCGGTCATAGCATTATAATTACTACCGGTATCAAAATCATCATAACTCGGAATCAAAATTTTAACCAAGGCGGTTAAGTCATATATTGACCCCGGCGGTGTTGATTTGACAAATTTTTGTTTTGCGTGTACGTCAAAATTCATGTGGTAAAATACATGCATCAAATTTAACATTTGCTGGCCTTTCTGTAACCTTTAAGGTCAAAGTGGAGGTCACTATTGACTCCAAACTTAAATTTCCGTATTTCACCCTTTTGTGAGAGGGAGGGGACAACTCGCCAATTTTGTGTTACGTATTTTATGAACTTACCGTGTATACTCTCCCAAATGGCGGATCCGTCCTTTTCATCGACATTATTCCAAATAATGGCTGCTCCTTGGGACGGCTGAACGGCCACGCCAAGCTTTGGGAAAACCGTAGCGCCTCCAAAAGCTACGTCCGTCACCTAATGTAAGATAAACTTAAGGTGCGTCGGGACCCGGGTAAACCCGACCCGCCCGCTACCCGATCGGGTTCGGAAATAAGCTGGGTACGGGTTAAAACATGTTAGATCCGACTCACTCATATTTTACTCATCAGCTTATGTAGCTACTCTCTAAGAAATTCCGTATTAATTACTCGCTAGTACACAAGAAAGTTCACATAGTTGCTTGGTATTAAAATTATGCCAGTGTGCAAAAATTTGCTACCGATATGGCAAAATTTTAACACCGGTGGTGCATGTGCATGTATTACTTTGGTAGGGTCAAACATGAATACCTTTTGTTATTAGTTTAAATTTAAAACCGGATTTATAAGAGTGTATGTGGCCAAAAGCTTAGGATTAGCATAATTTACCCCTTTAAACACGTCTCACTTACGTATATCATGCAGGTGACCGCCCTTTCCCATTTTTGCACGTCGTTGGTGAAATTTGTCTGTAACCCAAAAAATGAAATTTATAATTTTTTCATTTTGTATTGCATAATTCAAAAAAATTACGAAGTTACGGAACATCCATATACTATGTCAGTAAAAAATTTGGATTTGTATATTGAGCACCTATTCTCCCAACCCTACCCTATTCTATTCCTGTTAAGCTTATTAACAAGAGTAAGATAAGGGACGCTAATCGCCCCCATCTATTTCATGACGTAATACATGCACGTTCCCTAGAGCATTTCACAACTTTTCGCATAAAGATACGATAAAGATTTCCTACTTACAGTTTTAGGATCCACGTGAATATTGATGCTTGATCCGACATAGCTATACTCGGAAATCTGCAAGTCTTCTGACATCCCCCGAGCTAAGAAACCTATACCGCTCAACATTTCGATATTTTTGAAGACGGGCGCCAGAAATTCGGTCTGTCCCATGTTTACCCGTCTCTTTAAAGCATACGAGAAAATCATGGGATTAATTGTACAAACATAAACATTGGTGATACGAGCGTAAGGCTGACTCGACATTATCCGATCGAAATATGAATGTTATATAGCTTGGACCCAATCCGACAATGTCCGATTGAACAATTTGATCTGGCAATATCGTTCTAGCAATTTGATCCGACATCCGATCGCAATAATCGATCCGACAACATCCGATCAAACAATCCGATCTGACAACATCCGATCAAACAATCCGATCCGACAATATTCGATCGGAAAATTCTATCTTACAATATTCGCTGGAACAATCCGATCCGGAATTTCCGGATCGGAAATATCTGGTCGGATCCATGTTATAGTAAACGGCCTAAATTCCCATCCGATCATATCCATACTCTTGCAAATTACCGTACGATCGTATATTATCGGATTAATCCCACAGCAAAATCTGATTACCTGAAGTGACCTCCTGTGCATTCCGACGACGGGTTTGTCACTCACAGTGTCGACTACAATTGCGGCTTGTTTCATATCGTCATTTGTAAAAGTTAACAACTTTTCAATATCATTGCTCCCGATAACGTTGTGGATGAGGCGTAAATTTACCCGGGCATTACTCGACATTAATTCTACCTTCAGCGGGGCAATGCGGAAATAATGATTTGACTCTGTTTCATACCAGCATTTCAACGTGGCTTTTTCCGCTTCATTCTGTTAGTTAGAACACAAAATGATTTGTTTAATTATTACTCAATTAGAAATACTTAGTCGGAGGGAAATTCAAAATTAGAATTTTAAATGGTCCCTAAAAATGGAAACTACGGTAATTTAAAACCTACAGTCTCAACTTGCCTGATAATTATTTCCCGCGCACAGATTAAGCATTGATAATTCTCCTGTAGGCGGGATTTCTCCGGTTTTCTTGAGCTGCCGAAGCATAGTTCCTGTCTGCACGGGTAACGGTTCTTCTGGGATGATTGGTGTGGTGAATAAGCCGTACCGTTCGAGATCCGTGGCCTCCTTGCGTTCCGACCAGTATGTGTTGTGCTGCCAAAATGAAGCCATCATTAAAACTAAATTCAAATTGAAATTTAAGGGGTGGTCCATAAATTACGTAACGAAAAAATCGCGATTTTCCATACACCCTTTAACATGTGTAACATAGGCACGATAACGTTGGAGGCTTATTGCTAGACCCGCTCTACATCTGGCGTTTCGTAATTTATGGATGGCTCCTAATCCTCATTGAAATTTTAATTTAAATGCACAAATTCAGGAAATTTGGACAAACTTCTGCAGCAAATGATCAAAAATTGTGCTTGTTTTTTAAAAGGGTCATGAGCTTTAATACTCATTGTTTAAATTTCTCACCTCGGTTATCGCTTGTTTGAGCAGGTAGGCCATCATGGACTTCCTTTTCTTACTCGATGCGACCTCCTTCGCCTGGATTAAATACGTAATGTCAACATCAACCATGTCCAGATTTCTGGCAAAATTTCCCAGAGCTAGGATTTCCAAGAAGGACAACGTCTCATTGAAGTCGTGGTGGGCAATTTTTCCGTTGCAAAACTAAATACCGAGGATTGAAACAGTTTTATTAATGTGCACTCTTAGAAATAGTGTTACCCTTTTGAAACGTAAATGCACTACGAATTATAATTTGAGAAAGCTATACTACACAAATCCATAATAACGCTACCTTGATAAAGAGTAGAGTTGACTATGGATTTTATACAGTTTACATGATGTTAAATTCAAATTGCATTTCGTTTTCAAAAGGGAATCATTATTTTTTAGAGTGTAGGTATGAATGGGTGTAAAGTGTGACAAAAATTTCTTATTGGCAGGTCCCCATACCTCCGCTGTACTCGTTTGGTAAGTTTCCTGAAGTTTTAGCATCCCTTCCGCCGCAATTTCCACATCTCGCAGAGAAGGCATCGCTGTTCCAAGAGCGACCTCAAGTTTGTTAATGAGCGCGGCTAATTCGACAGCAAATGTTCCTGTAAAACATACATATGTATGAGATTTTGAAAACTTAAAACGGTTGAAATTCGAAGTTACTATGTCTCAAATATTAATCCAAGCAAACAAGAATTGCATAAACTCCCTGCATTTCGGGTATTTAGCGGTTTGTGGATATCAATAAATCTAACTTTAGTCTCACCTTTCCCTTCGGTACACTTGGTATTAACCTCCGTCAAGACATTTCCCATTCGAAATAAGAGTTTGAAAGCGTAAAATGGATTATCCTTATTTCCTTCCACGATATCCCCGACCGGGCACAGGTCCAGATATCTGAGCAAATTAAATAATCCTACAAAATCTAATATTTTCTTAACTTCAATATTTCCAAATTGTTACCTTAAAACTAAATCATAACAGGAACCGTCATCCGCACAACTATTTCCGGAACAAGATGCCACCATGTCCCTCAAAATGGTAACAAATTTATCTTCCTCTTCCCCCAACTTGGTTAAAAGTCGAGGATCCAGGGCGAAGGAGCCAGCCTCAAAGTTTCCCATGGCCAATGAAAATCATGCAGGTATTAAGAAAAATGGAAAAATTATGAAGGACATGATTTCCACGACTTTTTTTAAAATACGTAAAGTACTGTAAAAAAAACTTGAAATTTTGATTTTGATAAAATTTTTATTTGTAAAAGTAACTGTAAAATATCAATGCAAAAACCGCACAAATAATTTACTATTAGAAATTTAGTTAGTCGTACCAACTTTCTAATTGTTGTATTAATTATATTTTACTGTATTGTTGATACATAAATAGATACAAAGTTAACTAGACATCTAAATATAAATAAAATACCTCATTGTCCTTTAAAATGCTCAATATACAATAAAAAGACGCTTTCCCTTTCTTTTAATTTCAATTTCACACTTTAAATTCTCAATTAAGTATGACAAGTGCTACATTTCTTAGATATATTTTTAAATTTTTATAATTATTGTTCTACAATGAAGATACTTTAGCCCTTTTTGTATTCTTTGGATTTTGGTAAATGAAGATTTAATCCTATAACATTAGGAATAAATTGATTTATGCGGATTCGTATTCATCAATAAAGCACAACAAGTATATGTACTTATTTTAACATATATATGTGCTAGAAAAATATTTCTGACAAATTCCATTTTTTGCAAAATGTGCCAAAATAAATTATAAATTAGGAAACCTGAATCATGTATATGTACATAGAATACCTACATACATGCATAAAATAAATACTTTCCTCCTTCTTTTTCCCCAGTCCTAAATTTGTTTCTTGCGTGACACAACTAAAATTTGTAATATGTAGAAATCACACAATTCGCATAATGATCCTGAAAAGTTTTTGTTTCCTGTTTTTTCCACATGCTTATGTAGATACCGTTCATAACGAACCAAACGCGAGCGAAAAGAGGGGGGGGGAAGGTTTACAAATCACGAACATGATTTATTAACAGTCCCTTGAGTGAATCAGCCTACCAGGATTTGTTGACCATGTGCCTGACAAAGGTTCCTTTACGAGGAAGGGACGACTTACCCATCGCCATCACCTAATTATGGCACTTGCTTATTTATAGTTCACCGGTACTTCTACGTGTCCTAAATTTCATGCATTTATCACAGAGTTGGATATTTAGATAAAGGGATAATAATAATAATTATTATAATATATTATTATTATTACTATATTACAATATTATTATATAATAATAATAATAAGAAAAATAGTAATAAGGATGATAATCCGAGTAAAAATGGCAAGATTTTAACCAAGGGCTAGTTTGGATCACGTTTAACAGGAGAAAAAATTTGTTTTGGTTCGATACAAATCCGAGCACGCCGGTTGGTCTTTCTGTTTAAGCGTTTGAAGCATTCCTATTTGCTATTGAAAATGAAATGAACTGTTTTACCAGTTCTCTCAATGACCCCACAAGTGGCCAGGAAGTTGTGTAACTTAGAGGAGATGAGATGGGGAACGAATTGTCTCGACTTGAGAGGCAGGTTGAGATTTAGTAGTGGACTTTTATTCTCTTATTCACACACACAATTACAAAAATATTGGGGCAGGCCAGCAGCAGCAGACAGGAAACTTGTCCCACAAAATGACGACCCATGTACTGCGACTGCTGCCTGTTTATATAGTAAAACATGCACCCAATATGTATACCTATATGCCATTTCATTATTGGCCCGTCGGTAAGAGGCTGATGGACAGGAATAGAAAGTGGGATGACTTGAAGAGAACTTGCAACTGGAGAGAGATGACATGCAATAATGATCGCAACATTAATCACTCAATGCCTTGAGGCAATCACGATTACTAAGAAAGAAGAATGGATTGAATACCTAATGAGGCTGACCTATTATGGCAACGCTACACATGTCAAAATTTATGCATTGTTCCCGGAAAGCAGATGTGTTTATTTTGTCAATGTCAGTAAAGAAAGAGGAGATAGCTTTGATGATAAAACTCTTGCGCTCGACACCATCTAGGTCACAACAAAGAAGCCTGAGAGTGTGCCAGAAGGGCTTATTTTCAAATATAAGATTAGTAGTCGAAATAAGCTAACGCGTTATGCAAGACACGTATTTTATAAAACATAGGCATGCTCATCTTCGGGAACATGGCACGATGCCAAACGTTTACCATATAGCAAATCATCCCTGTTTGTTTCTATCAAGGCAACAATGTTGTTGATCTCAATAGCCTCCCTGATCTGATTTTAAGAAGGAACCGCTAGCGCATACGACAAAAGAACAATCCCCCCTCTCCGCCCGCATGTAAGGGAATAAACCGCATGTAAGGGAATAAACTGGAACCCATTTTCCATTGCAGGTACATCATAATAGTCTTTGGTGGTGTCGCGAGTTGTGAAATCGTGATCCCAAGTTTTCTCAAGAATCTCAGCGGTAGCATAATTAATACATATCGTGGTTATAAATGTGGTGAATCTTGTCATCGTAGTTTGGATCAAAATAAGCAACGTAATATTTCTTGGTGCCCACGAAAAGAAAAGCGTAATGACCGAAGTCAGAAGTTCAATCATTTAAATAATCGCGATAGAAGGAGGTCGCAAAACTAAGAGGAATGAAACGAACATCTTTGTATCTTTCCTTCATCTTAAGCAGAAAGTCATAGTTAGTATAAAAATAGTGAATACTACTGGTAATAGTGTTCTTTAATTTTTTATCGAAGCAAAGGAATTCAAGGACTATGGTACAGGAAACTTCAACGTTTGGAAACCCCATCCCCGGCGAATCGAAGCAACCAATATAGCTTCAAAAGGCTGTGAATAATTTTATTTTTTGCAGGAACAACAGGGGCGCCGGGGCAAAATTTCAAAATGGTGGAACGCACTTGTTAGCGATGTACGTGCATACTCCCAAGGCTAATTTTGTTTAGGAAATCCTTTGTTTCGTTACGAATCAGCAACTTATTTTTATATCACTTGCAAGAGGGTGACTTTCTGCTCACTTGAACCAGCAAATTCATCTACTTTAGATTTAGCTAGCCGACAGCATTTCTCAGTAGTTTACACACCAATATAGATTCTAATAACCCTCAATTAAAAATTCTTTTAAATCCAAAAAAACACTTAAAAATTTTTTTAAATTCCAATCAACGCCAAGAACTTAAAAATTCCTAAAAAATAGTCGCGTAGAAAATTCCTAAACTTTTAATAGAATACGTCTTTTAAATTCTTACATAAATAGTCCTACAACTTAAAAATTCGTTAAAAAAAGTCGCGTTGAAAATTCTCAAAACTCTAATAATAGCCACTTATAAAATTCTAATAAACTTTGAAAAAGAGCTCCACTCTAGCAGCAGACTATGATGGAGATGGATACCTCCCTTTTGGAAACTTACTGCGACTCTTGCGGTGGCTTTCATATTGTCCACTGTGAAAACTGTGCTGAACTCCATTGTGCAAATGTGCGTACACAACATCAAGAAATCATTAAATTATGCGTTGTTTGCAGTAATCATCATAGTGAAAAGTGCACGTTTTGTTCTCCATCACATTGACTCTGTAATTGTTGCATTATTCTCGCTGACCTTCATGATTCACCACCGCCAACGGTCGTTCACGCACCTGCTCCCGTTAGGAAGCATCCCAGATTGGATTATAAATCCGCTACGTGCAATATTTGGAGACAAGTCATCTCCTACAAGGGATCTCTCGATTTACATTATCCACAACAAAATGAATCAACGACGGATGAACCGCATTTCTTCACTCAAGGCCAAGGAGTTGGTAACCGACTCCAGCTTTCTCACACTGTGCTAAATACTATTCGAGTGTATAAGTTAAACACTACCAACTATAAATACACTGACATTGGGTTGCTGGAAAAGAATTTATAGGAAACAGGAAGACTTCCCCGGAAGACAATGTATGATTACACAAATGAGATGGCCACGGCTTAACACGATGCCAATGCAAAGGTATCACTGCAGGAGGAGGATTTCCTATAAGTAATCCTGACCTCCCTGTTTAGGTTCGTGAAAAATTGTGATGACTGATCTTGTGTTATTTTTATTTGTGTGGATTGACTTTATGTAAGTAATTAAACTGGCAATGAAAAGGTTAATATAGATAACAATGTAATGACTATTTAATTATTTAACTTTTTGGTTTCTTACATACACATATTTAATGCCTGTAAGAGCATTAAATAAATATATGTAGCAATAAATAATAATAAGATTTATTATTATTATGGGGTAAGTTGATATTTTATATTTATAATTATTTGTGACGCAAATTGATACGTGTATATGTATTCTCTCCGTTCCTTCTGATTTGAGGTAACGTGAGATTAGTTAAAATACGCTTGTGCATAATATGTAGCTTTGGCACATAGATTTTTTGGACCTGGTTTGGTTGTGGACCAAACCAGGAGTTTATATACGGCTGATTGGACGCGAAAGAACGCAGCTTACGTGACCTGAGTCGCAGTTATTTTGGTCCTTCCGAGAATTGACCGTCGCATAACTAATATGCATGCATGCATCTTTCTCTTTGCTTTTCATGAACAAAGTGGATGCATTTACATTGTATGCATGGATGGGTGACACAAAGCGAGAGTATGAGACTCCTGCATAGCGAGTCGAGCAAGTTTCTCGTGCCATCCATCATATACACAAATATGCATTACATACCCAGTACATATGCATTTCCTGCTTACCTTCTCTCATGCAATTTACTTTTACATACTTATACATGCAGTCTCAATTTCCTCACAAGTTATGCATCATATTGATGTACATGTTTTCCTTCCACACTAGCATTCTTAGCACTCCCTAGTAACCATGAATATAACCCTTTTAACCAATTACGAACTACATCTGAAGAATAAGGACATCTTGAGGATGCAAAAATCCAGCTTCGTCTCTCACTATCAACACATCAAACCGAAAGCTAAAACAGAAGGACACTTCAATATAACCTCCCCATGCTACTACAAGCCTAAATTCGTTGTTCATAATTTCACGATTTATAGTGACTAGCATTATTTATAGTGACGGATGCACTAATCAAAATAGGAATGCAATCATGGCGATGGTGTTGCTGGATAACGCAATTATAAGCAGCAAAATCATAACACAAAAGTTCTTGGAAAAGGTACACACTCAAATGGAGGTGGACTCGGTAAACAGTTCAATAGAATGCAACTTGAAGAAAAAACTTATATACTTACCAACTGACTGTATATAACATTGCGTCGAGGCTAGGACGAAACCTTCTCCATACGAAGTACTATATATATTGTAACAACCACTCCCACTTCAAGAACTATTCTTTCAATGAGATGCAGCGTTATTCCAGCATACGACCAGGATAAAACCAGGTGACCCATGTGTAACAGACATTCGACATCTTAAATATAATCCAAGCAGAATTACTGAGTACAAATTTGACTATCAATCTGAGTGGACCAATCTTCCAAAAGATCCAGGACCGCTCCAAAATATTGTATTCCCTGCGCTGGATCATTCCCGTCTACAAATTCCAAAACGAAAATACGATGACCTGCAGGACCTTCTAACTCCACCACAATTTCATGATTATTGTAAAAGTTTGCCCAAACATAAGTAATTATTATTGTTCCGGGGTAATGAACTAGCCAACAGCAAAAGCTATACCCACACAAACTCGTGGACTGCTACCCAATACCCTCAACCCGTCTAAAATACGGGGTATGTTTTGGACACCGTGATAACCCTCATTGCATCCACTAGCAACATCTCATCACTAATTTTCAACCTTACCTTAACAATTTTGAATATTTATAATGCATAGTAAGCCTCATTATGCCTGGAGCTATAAATTACAGCTAGTAAATTTTATTCATGATTTAGTTATACTAGTTGTTGTAACTTATTTATTGCATTTTAGCCAACAGCCTTTGCAGATCATGAATGGTTACATAATATTGATAAGATTATAAAATCGTAAAAAGGTATAAAAGTAGTTATTGGTCAGAACATACTAAATATGTTCTGACCAAGTACATATAATTGTATTAAATTGATAAGTAGCAAATGGAGATAATTATATTTAAATGTATATACATACATTTTTATAGCTTTTTATACCTCTTTTATACCTTTTTACGATTTTATAATCTTATCAATATTATGTAACCATTCATGATCTGCAAAGGCTGTTGGCTAAAATGCAATAAATAAGTTATTATTATTAACTCAATAGTATTAAGTACATTTCCCACAAAAGAAATTTAAACTTGGCACCGTTATCATATTATTCGTAATAAAATGATTTTTTTTTTAGAATTATCTAATTGTGGGGCACGATGGATCCATTTCGTTGCTATGACCTTCTTCCCAACACCGACGGGGCATCCACCTATGCAATTCAATATTTAAATAGAAGAAGATATCACTTTTGAGACACTCATGCAACCAAAAGGGTGAAACCAGTGTCATTAAAATGAGGAGTATCATATTAATTTTTCCAGGCATTGACTAACGCAAACCCGTGTGCCATACATACTTACTCAAATTTTACATTTGGTAACCTTCCTGTGACCTTAGAGGTCAAAATGGGGGTCATCACTAAATTAAATTTCCCTTAAAACTGATGCACATATCTATCTTAAAAGTTAGTTGGTTACCCCTTTGTGAGAGGCAGGTGCAAAAAAAACGCCAATTTATACTCACGTAATATATGAACGTTCCCCGACTTATGTATAAACTTACCGTGTATACTCTCCCAAATGACGGATACGTCTTTTTCGTCGACGTTATTCCAAACAATGGCTGCTCCTTGGGACGGTTGGACTGCCACGCCAAGCCTTGGGAAGACCGTGGCGCCCCCAAAAGCCACATCCGTCATCTAGATAATGTAAGATAAACTAACAAGGGAACATACCGAGGTGTCCAACGAGTTAAGGGTCGACACCTATACCAAAATGACCACAATACATGACTTATTAAACAAACTGAAGGAATTTCCGTGTAAAATTCACTTTTCGTCACGTTGTGACGATATTTGTGACGAGCGCATGACTATCGGGTTGCCAGCGGGATAGGTCGACCGCTAAACAATCAGGTCGAACACAGAGAAGCTTCGTCGTCTTCAGAGATTTCAAATTCTTTCAAATTTTGAAAACATTTTGAAATTGTGAAGAAATTTTGAAGAAATTTTGAAAACATTTTTTAATTTTGAAGATATTTTGAAAATATTTTGAAATTTTGAAAAACTTTTTGAAATTTTGAAGAAATTTCGAAATTTCTAAAAAAATTGAAATTTTTAAAACGTTTCGAAATTTTGAAGAAATTTTGAAAAAAATTAGAGGTGTGTAAGTTATTTGAAATTTGAAATCTCTGAAGAGGACGTGAAGACGACGACGCTTCTCTGTGGTCGACCTGATCGTTCAGCGGTCGACCTCTCCCTCTCTGTCAACCCGATGGTCATGCGCTCGTCACAAATATCGTCACAACGTGACGAAAAGTGAATTTTACACGGAAATTCCTTCAGTTTGTTTAATAAGTCATGTATTGTGGTCATTTTGGTATAGGTGTCGACCCTTAACTCGTTGGACACCTCGGTATGTTCCCTTGTAAATGCGTCGGGATGCGGGTAAACCCGACCCGAAATTCGGGTTCGTAAATTAGCCGGGTAAGGTTTAAAAATGTTCGGACCAACTCACTCAGACATATTTTGTAGCAGTAGCTCACCTACATACTCTCTTAGAAATCCGGTATTAATTACTCGGTAGTACAGAAGTTGTTATTAGGTACTTGGTATTGAAACTATGCATACAGGCCCGCAAAAATTTGATACCGATGTAGTAAAATTTTAATACCAAACTCTTCATTACTACATCAATACGCCGTATTACTTCGCTAGAGTTAGACGGTTTGTTATTAATCTAAAACCCGGATTTTTAAGAGTGTAATCAAGCAATTAACATATTTTACTCCTTGAAATATATACGTATCACTTACGTAAAACATGCAGGTGACCGCTCTGTCCCACTTGAGCACGTCGTTGGTGAAATTTCTCTGCAAATTTTCCTGCATTTTTTTTGTTTGCAAAGCAAAAAAATGAAATTCATAATTTTTTCCATTGGTATTAGATAATTCAAAAAAATATGAAGTTAGGGAATGCTCATATATATATTACGTCATCAAAAAAGTTGATTTGTAGACCACGTCAACTTAAGCTTATCAACACGAGCAAGATAAGCGACTCAAATCGCCCCACCTCATATCTGATGACGTACTACGTTCCCTATGTAGAGCATTTCATAACTTTTCACATTGTGCGATAAATATTTCCTACTCACAGTTTTCACATCCACGTGAATATTGATACTGGATCCGACATAGCCATACTCGGAAATTTGCAAGTCCTCCGACATTCCCGGAGCAAGAAAACCGATCCCGCTCAACATTTCAATATTTTTGAAGATCGGCGCGAGAAATTCAGTCTGTCCCATGTTTACCCGTCTCTTTACAGAATAGAAGGAAATCATGAAAATAAATAACTGCGAAGTTTGGGTAAGTCCGACCCGAAATTTTCCGATCCGGATGGGATTTTTATATCGGAATTAACATGAATCCGATCCGACAATGGCCGATCGAATATTCCAACCCTGGTCGGATTCATGTCATAAAAACAGCCGGGTAATAGAAATCCGGTCGCATCGGAATCATGTGATTGTAAACTGTATTATAACCGGGTATTATCCTGTTGGATCGGATAATACCCGGGTACCAGCCAGGTCAAACGAGCAAATTTGATTGATTACCTGCAGTTTAGTCCTGTACACTCCGCCGATGGGTTTACCACTGACCGGATCGTCTAATAGTGCGTATTGTTTCATATCTTTATTTGTAAAAGTTAGCAACTTTTCAACCCCATTGGTTCCAAGGACGTTGTGGATGAGGCGTAAATTTACCCGGGTATTACCCGTTAATAATTCTACCTTCATGGGGGCAATGCTAAAATAGGGATTCGACCCGGTTTCATACCAGCATTTCAACCTGGCCTTTTCCGTTTCATTCTGTTAATTAGGAATTAAATTATTAATTTACATATTTGAAATTGGGCGGAGGTAAATGCAAATCAGAGGTCGACGCGGGCCAATTTTTCGGCGACTTCGATCCCAAATATACCGTGTCCCAGAGTAAGTTAGACAGTGATCTACGGGGGAGTTCGACTTGGTTGGAATATTTTTATACAAGCTTCGGTGCAAGGTAGGCACTAATCATACCAACCAGTTTTTATGGCGGAGGATTTGTCACAGCCCCTTCTTAGCCTCCAATCCGAAATTCCGCGCCAACATTCAAATTAGCCGTTTTCCACTCGGTTACAAAATGTCCTCGTTGATTTTTCCCCATTAACGCTTGAATTCTTCGTGCTTTTTCGCATTGGAGTTTAGGTTAGAGTGTCTTGTTTTACAGAAGGCCTAAAACTTTTCGTTTGGTCACAATTGAGGGACATTTGAGGGGCTATCTTTTGAAAGGACAAAATCGACTCCTAATGCCCGTAAGTACGGGGTTCAAATTTTGGCGTAATGTGAGGTTAGGAGGTCCGGCCAAAATAAAGTTGCATTCAGATTACATAGTTTCCTTATCCAGAGCTGTGACAGCTTCAAACATTTGTTTTTATTAACGTCTGTATTTATGGTAGATTTTCAAATATAAGGTGGAGAAATGTTGCCAAAACTGCCCGTCCCCCGCCAAACCAGGAATTTTACAGGAAATTTGGTTTTCACTTTAAATTGACGTTAATATTCCACATCTGAGGGGTAGGTGGAGTGAAAAAATTTCAATCCCGGAGTTCCTAATAGATCAACTTTGCCGTAATTATCGTCATAAATAACGATAATTTGTAATGACATTTGTCGACACTCTTCTTTAGATATTTTTTGCACTCTCCTTTTTTGGTCGTTAAAGTACTTTGGGAGACTTAGGAGGAGAGTACGCCAACCTGATAATGACAGATCTTGATGTCCTTTGGATATATGGTAGTACCCCCTCTGAAAGCAAAAAGTGTGAAGCGGTTTGATGCCATGGCCCAATTTACGCCCGTCACACCCCTTTGAAGGCGCGCCCGATGCCAAACTAGCTGCACTAAAAAATTCGCCAAAAATCCAATTTTGTTCGGATTTTCATAATAATTATGTATTTGTGATCCCAGATAGTCCCTTTATCATATTCAGTTGTAAAATTAACTTTTCAGAAATTTTCAATATTTTCGAATATTTCCTGAAAAGGGCATGGCTTGAAAAAATTCAAAATTCCAAAAAAATTCAGATTGATATCTGATATGATAAAGCAACTATGTGGGATCATAAATATGTAACTATTATGAAAATCCGAACAAAATTGGATTTTTGGCGAATTTTTTAGTGCAGCTAGTTTGGCATCCGGCGCGCCTTCAAAGGGGTGTGACGGGCGTAAATTGGGCCATGGCATCAAACCGCTTCACACTTTTTGCTTTCAGAGGGGGTACTACCATATATCCAAAGGACATCAAGATCTGTCATTATCAGGTTGGCGTACTCTCCTCCTTAGTTTATTTTTTCTGTAAGCCTCAGTTTATGAAGTTTAATGTTGCGGAACTAACATTTTGAAATAAGGAGTATCCGAGCAGCGCCACAAATTTACGTGGAAGCTTTAGTGCTGAAAAGTGTTTTTATGCCTTTCAAGTTTTAATTGGTATCTATGAAAAGAGGTGGCCTGAAAATTTATAAAAATTGCACTTTTTGGCATCCTCATACTTCGAAATACAAAGGTAGATTGCGGTTTTGTGGCATCTTTCCGCGTTGAAGTACGACCACGTCATGTTCGAGTCACGTCAAGCGACAATTTTGTAGTTGTGAAAAACTCAATTCGCGAGTTTTTCACTTTGACCCCGATTTCTATTGAATTTTGCCTGTTTAATAAAAAATGCTTTACACCTGCTGAAAGCCCATGAAATTGCGTTTCAAAAAACTAACATTGATGAGCAACTATCTCCACTATTTGCGCAGAATCCCTTATGATCAAACTGTCTAACTTACTCTGGGCCATACCTTATTCGGCGCGCAAAAATGTCGACATCTGATTCAAATTCTTTCGAAAAATATATAATTCCCCTATAATTTAAATCCTACTTGCCTGATAATTACTTCCCGCGCACAGATTAAGCATTGCCAATTCTCCCGGGATATCTCCGGCTACCCCGACCTGCCGAAGTTTAGTTCCTGTCTGCGCGGGTAACGGTTCTTCTGGACGGATTGGTGTCATGAATAACCCGTACCGTTCGAGATCCGTGGCCTCCTCGCGTTCCGACCAGTATGTGTTGTGCTGTCAAGATGAAACCATCATTCACATTAAATTTAAGGGGTCGTCCATAAATTACGTAAGGATGAAATCGCCAGACCCCTTCGCCCCCTTAACATAGGCACGAGGCTTAGACCCTCTCCCCCTCAAGCGTTTCGTAATTTATGGATGGGCCCTAGTTATAATTTAAATTTGCAAATTCAGGAAATTTGGACAAATTTATGCAGCAAATGGTCAAAAATTTTCACTTATTTTTCATAATTACGTCACGTTATGTTTAAGGGTTTCCCGCAAGATGTATGAACCATGACCTTTAGGCCCGTCCATAAATTACGTAACACAAAAATCTCGATTTTGTAGACCCCCCCGCTCCCCCTCTAACATGTGTAACACAGGAACGATATGATTGGAGGCTAAGACGCCCCCTCCCCACCTCTTGCGTTATGTAATTTATGGACGGTTCCCATTAACGTAGACTTAGGTGACTCATCGCCTATGACGTCACAGGCCTAAAAATTACAACATTTTTAATCATTTCTCCGCTCTGATATTTCATTCAAACGTATAAAGCGACACTTTTGTAGAGCAAGTCGTTACTAATTTATTAAAAATATACACTCCAGACTTTGCCACTTTTTGAAGGAGTGTTTGCAGTTTTTGTAAAAAAAGTGAAGACACATAAGACCTCCTGTTAAAGAGGATTCCATTTTAAAAAAACTGGCTTATCGTAATTAACAAAACTCAACGCCATCCTATTTATCAACTTACTTGCTACAGTTGTGTAGCTTTGATTGTCTATACTCGACTTAATTGCCCCAGAAAACAAATTTGAAATTAGAGTAACTATAACGTGGATAGGTATACGCGTATGTAGGTAATGTAAATCTAACACTAATGGACCACCCACCTACTGCGTATTATATTAGACTTTTATGAATTGAATAAAAACATAATAAAAATGATCTTAGAAGATTTAGATATACAATACATAGTGAATGGACGCCCCTTCCAAAACAAAACAAAACACAAAACATATGTTCTGGTGAACAAGAAATACCAGATAAAATGGTTTCGCGCTGTGCTTTTTGCCGTGAGATTTTTTGAGACGATGAGTCACCTAAGTCTACGTTAATACTGCTAGAATTTCTTACGTACCTTAGTGATTGCTTGTTTGAGCAGGTTTGCTACTAAGGACTTGCTTTTTTTACTGGATGCGACCGCCTTCGCCTGGATTAAATACGTAATACCCACATCAACCATTTCCAGATTTTTGGCAAAATTTCCCAGAGCTAGGATTTCCAAGAAGGACAGCGTCATGTTGAAGTCGTGGTGGGCAATTTTTCCACGGCAAAACTAACAATGGAGAGGTGTCAGGTGGTTATCGCCAATGTGGACGGGACTAATTTTAAATTGTTCAGGCCCAGAAATAAGCCCACCCGTATTTTTTCGTTTTCCTGAATGGGCATATTTACGCCCGTGGCGGAATTTTCGAAAAAAATTTCAGCCAAAATCCTGATTTTTAAAAAAGCTGTAACTTTTCGAATTTTAGCCCGATTTCAAAAATTGAATACAATTTGTGTTCAGAATTACTTCCTTGAAAATATAAAAATTCATTTCCAAAAATTTTTTAATTTTCAAAAAATTATCGTTTTTTTCATTTCTAAAAACTCAGAAATGGCATGAAAATATTAAATTTAAAAAAATTTTTGAAAATGAATTTTTATATTTTCAGGGAAGTAATTCTGAACACAAATTGTATTCAATTTTTGAAATCGGGCTATAATTCGAATAGTTACAGCGTTTTTAAAAATCAGGATTTTGGCTGAATTTTTTTTTGAAAATTCCGCCACGGGCGTAAATATGCCCATTCAGGAAAACGAAAAAATACGGATGGGCTTATTTCTGGGCCTGAACAATTTAAAATTAGTCCCGTCCACATTGGCGATAACCACCTGACACCTCCTCATTGTAAGTATGTATCAAGGGTTGAAACAGTTTCATTAATGCACACTCTTAAAAATAGTGATACCCTTTTGAAAAGTAAATGCATTTCGAATTAGAAATTGGGTAAATTGTGTTAAATCAAGAGTAAAGAGTAACGTTAACTTTACCAAAAGTAAAATTTGCACTGGATTTAGTTTAGTTTGCTTAACTTAGAATTCAGAGTGCATCTACTTTTCGAAATAGTTGCATTATTTTTTAGAGACTAAAAATCGCATTTCTAAGAGTGCAGGTATGGGTTTAAGGTGTGACATAAAGTCTAATATTTCTTGGAAATTTATCTCTTCCGTACTTGTTTGATACGTTTCCTGAAGTGTTAACATCCCTTCCGCCGCAAGTTCGACGTCCCGCAGAGAAGGGAGCACTGTTCCCAGAGCGACCTCAAGTTTTCTAATAAGCGCGACTAGTTCGACAGCAAATGTTCCTGTGAAGCATAAATTGAATTTTGAAAATTGAAACAATTAAAATTCGAAGTTACTACATATGTCTCAGATCTTCATCTAAATAAGAGTCGACTAGTTGAGTTTGAACTTGGCGCTTTTTTCACAGTGCCCCAGTCAGGCTTAACCTACTCCAACCCATTTTACGTAGACCATCAAGAGTATAATTTATATAACCAAAAAATAAATTCCCGACATTTTGAGTATTTGTAAATATATGTTAATAAATATAAATGAATAGTCTCACCTTTCCCTTCAGAACACTTTGTGTTCACCTCGCTCAAAACATTTCCCATTCGAAATAAAAGTTTAAAAGCGTAGAATGGGTTGTCCTTATTTCCTTCCACGATATTCTCGACCGGGCACAGGTCCAGATATCTGAGATAATTAAATAATCCTACAAAATCCAATATTTTCTAAACTTCAATATTTCCAAATTCTTACCTTAAAACTAAATCATAACAGGCACCCTCATCCGCACAACTTTTCTCCGAACACGAGGCCACCATGTGCCTCAAAACGGGAACAAATTTATCTTCCTCTTTCCCCAACTTGGTTAAAAGTCGAGGATCCAGGGCGAAGGAGCCAGCCTCAAAGTTTCCCATGGCCAAGGAAAATGATGCGGGTATTAAGAAAAATGGAAAGATTATGAAAGACATGATTCCCACGATTTTTTTAAAAAATAAAGTAAAGATTTTCAGAAAATTTGTATATGTGAAACTAACTATAAAAACTGAACAAATAATCCACTGCTGTAAATTTTGTTACTCATCCATTAGCCTTTGGAGTAACAACTTTCTAATTGTTTTATAAGCTACATACATTTTGCTGCATTGTTCATAAGTAGATCTAAATATAAAACATATACCTCATTGTTCTATAAAATGCTCAATACACAATTAAAAAACACTTTCCCTTCCTTTTAATTTCAATTTCATAAGTAAATATGAGAAGTGCCACATTTTTTAGATATGTTTTCATAATTATTGTGTTCATTATTATTGTGTTCATAATAATTTAATTTTTTCTTAATCTTTAGATTTTGGTCTAATTAGAAGGTTTTAACACTGTAATATTAGTAATAAATTTATTCATGTGGGTTCATATTCATTAAAATAAAATAAGTACAATAAAATGTATGTTCGAAAAATATGTCTCACAAACATGCATGTTGGTTAATGTTTGACTCGTATTATTTTGCAAAATTTGCCAAAATAAGTCATAAATTAGGAATCATGGACATTAGAATGCATACATATTTAAATGCTAGAACATTTTTGTTTCAATTTTTTTCACGTGCTTTGAGACCGTTCATAAAGTACGAAACTTGAGAGAAAAGAGGGGAGGGGTTTATAACTCATGAACATAACTTATGAACGGTCAGCCTGCCAGGATTATTTGACCATGTACCTTCCAAAGGTTCCGTATGAGGAAGGGACGACTTGCCCAAAGGCAAAGACTAATTATGTCAATTGCACATTTATAGTTCACCGTTACTTCTACGTATCCTAAAATTTAATGCATTTATTACAGAGTTGGATATTTCGGGATGTACTCGAAGAAAAAATGGAAAGGTTTCCATTCCTCAAAATTATATTGCGTAATAAAGATAGTCGAAAATTCAAGTTGAAAGCATTTTGAATGTGCATATTTTCAGGTTTTTGACCACATACATGCATATTTTGCAGAATTTATGTACATGCATATCCGCTCTCTACACATGAGTAGTTCACACGCATGAGCTGAACAGATACATAATCAACCCTACATAGAAATAAATACTGACGGCTCAGAGAATTTTTTCGTGGGTCAGTTTAGCCATAAAATTTGATACAACTGCAAGTATCCAAAAATGAGGGAAAAAATCTTCATTGCCTTAACACTACTATTACAGATAATCGTTGTGACTAGTTTTTCCGGTAAGTTACACATATTTACATATTCACATAAATGAATTGGGGATGAGTTGGCCTTAAATGCACCACAAAAAGTCACCAACTCGCGAAAATTAAATGTTTTAAACCTCCAGATAAATTCTTGAGTTGGAAAAATATCGAACCGAACCGAATTCAAATATTTCAGCTGAAAAATATCCACCCGAACCGAGTCTGAATATTTCGCTTAAAAAATATCCGAACAGATCCGAAAGATTCCGGTTCCGTTCGGATCGGATGGACGCTTTATCCAAAATTCGGATAACCAACTCAACTCTAGCATCAACTCATCATCAACTCAACCGCAACACTATACTTATAAATATTTGTAGCTACAACGTCTGGATCCCACGTGACTGACGTGACAAGCAAATCGCCACCCTCTACGGTGACCTATGGGCCTGGTCGGATCCAGTTATGGCCTGAAGATCCAATCGACAGCTGGATCTTGTCCACGTTCTTTACCATCATCTATGAAATCGTGGCGGTGGTCGGATTGACGATCTACTTTTCGATGAAGCTTTACAACTCTATGGTTCACGCGTACGATATTTTTACAAGAAAAAGCATTGAAGACGGGAAAGGTGAGATTTTTTGACATTTTTTGCATGGAAAAATTTAGTTTTCATTCAAAATTTAAAACATATTGCAGATGAAGAAACTCGACGACAACCTCGCCGCAAAAAGGAAGGACCGGATTTTACCCCAGACCAAGTTTTTTACAAAGAGAAATATTTAACTTTCCTCTCGCAAAAATATCCAAACATTTCCCGACCAGTCACACAGCCAGATTTTTATTACCAGATTCCCAAATTTTTACCCACATCAATATCATCTACAAATTATGTGAATTGAATGGTAACAAAAAAATAAAGTTTGAATAAATTTCCAGAAGCAAGAAAAAATTGAGCATACTCGTGAAGGATTTAGCATTAGCTTTGCAACTCATTTCGCACTCTAAATAAAAACTGATCACTCTAAATAAAAATTTATATATCAACGCTGTGCAAAATGTGTTTAACCGTTGCGCGTTGGATGAGTTTGAACCGAATTTTTATGTCATCCTCTTTTTTGCAGATACATACTCAACCTTTAGAAAATTTTACAAAACCTGTATCCATTTAGAGTGTCGACATATGTACATAATCAGTACGATATTTATTAAAGATTTCACATTTCCTAATTTCTTGCAGGTATTAATAGTGTTTGTTTTCATGGGAAAACAATTCCGTCAATATTGTTATGTACAGAGGCCATTCAAGGGAAAAATAAGTGCCTTGTGATTCCTGTTCTTAGCTTGAGCATTGGTTTCATTCTGAGGATGAGTGGGGTCACAGCTTTCAGGACCATCAAAAACAATAGAAAAGTTTCCGAAACTTCTATCGGCTTATATGAAATTTTGTGTACTGGTCAGAAATTGAAGTGTACACTTATTTTGATGCGTGGAACTTGTCTCGTGGCTTCAAAATAAGCCGTTTAATTTACCGTTATTTTTTCCGTTGACGAGAGACAAAAAATATTTAATACGTATGTAGACCGTCCTCTTTATAAATTTACGTACATAGGTATGTATGCAGCCCACTTTAAGAGGGTCGGAAGTCTTAAGCGTTCCCAAATTATTTCCTTAGTCAGTTTCCCTGTAAAATTTGATTTGTCCTCAACAGAGTTTACAGAAGGTAACGGGTAAAAACTACGTATTTACATACTTTCTATTGTTGCATAATACACTCTAAAAAATAATGTTGTCATTTTAAAAATTAAATAAGTGCACTCTAAATTTTATAGTACGTAAGTGGTATAAAATACAGAGAAAACTTTCCTCTGTATTAAGTCAATGATACTCTGGATTTACCTAATTTAGAATTCAGGGTGATTTACTTCTCAAAAGAATAACAATATTTTTAAGCGTGTGGGTAAAAATCAGAGTTGAGTAGGTTGAGGCATTGTCTCCCATCAATCTGAACCGAATCCCAATTTTTCGGGTAAAAAAATATCCAACCAAACCTAACCGAATTATTCGGCTCGGACAAACACTTCATCCGAAAGTCAGAGAACCGACTCAACTCTGGTCAAAATTATGGTAAAATAGGTCGTATTTTTTTTACTTTATATTATTATTAAATATTAAATTATCATTTATTAAACTATCAATTAAATTATCATACCACACAAACTACATATTTTTTATATTTTTTATATCATTCCCAATTTACAAAAACATCCTAATTTTTTCTACGTTGTCAGATTCAAATTTTTTAGAAATGGGAGGAAAATTCCTCATCGCGATAACATTTCTAATCGCCGCAGTGACTGGCTGACAAAGCGCCATCCGAGCTGACTTCTCGGACCACAGAGGCTGCACCGGTCCCACAATTATCATGGGTAATGCTTCTCGAAATGGTGGCAATGCTGGGATCAATCGGGATGTGTTTTGTAATGATTTTCAGCATGATTACCGGGACCCAAAATTTGTTGGCGGAACGAGCACAAGGTAAAATTTAAGATTTTTATGTTTATTTCAGCATTCAAAAATCCGCCTAAAATAAAAAAAATGCGGATTTGTTACAAAGTAAATACGTGTCGGAAAAGGGTTAAATTTTACAATTAGACCCGAGAGCAGAATAACTTACATTTATCAAAATATTTTTAAATGTAAACGTGTAAGTTTTCGCAAAAATTAATAGAAAACTTGAAAACTAGACGTTGACAAGTCCATAGAGCTACGAAATTTTTGGATTATGAAAATATTTCAAAATTAAGCATCTTATCATTGGGGGTATTTATTACGAATTTGTTAGCGGGGTTAGCAAAGCACAAAGCTTGCAATTTTGTAAAAAACTTGGTTTGAAAATTCATTCCTGAACTTGCACATAAATATCTCCAAAGCTAGTAAATAAAGGGTGTTGATTTAATTCGTTCAAATTTTTGCTAAATATTCGAAAATTTGAAACTCTAAACCGGAAAAAACTTGGGTTCATGATTAAGACTTATCTTCATTCTAGGTATGATTAAATTTCGAAGAAAAATATCAACTTTTTTTAAAGTTATGGTTTGAGTCCATAAAAAAGCTAGCATCTGGACGAAGTAAATCAACACCCTGTTCGAATTTTTTCAAAATTATGATGCGATGCAAAATTATAACGAGAACCCCCAATTTTTAGGAGCCAAATCTTCAAAATTTTTACCGTTACAAAACAAACATATATTTATTGCAGCTCAAAAAACTAAAAAAGAAGAACAAACCCCTCTCGAAACAAAGGATCTGAATTTCACAAATCTAGAAATTTTTGCCCAAGAGAAGTTGTACCTCTTGCAAAAATCCCAAGTTGCTGCACAGAAAATTCTTCACTACTACCCAACTGCCAACTTTTCTCACCTAATAACTAACCTAACTGATGCATCAGTTACAAATTATGCTAAACTTTAACGGAAAATATGGTTGAAATAAATTTTAGAAAAATATTTAAATGTGACATCTCAATTTTTTAATAAACCAATTTTTCGAGTGCAAATGTGCACTCTTAAAAATCTGGTGTACTTAGTCATAGGCTGGTATTGATTTCTCGGTATTAAAATTACTTCTGAATTGTATTAAAATTATGGATGTCCGTAAACAAATTTCCATCGACATTGTTAATTTATAAATTTTAACCGAGCTAATTATTTACTACACGGCATTACCAATTTGGTAATATCATAAATACCTACATGGAAACCGCTCGGTAATATATTTATACCGAATTTCTAAACGTGCACTTTCAAATCATGCAAACTAAAAGCTGTATGCAAATTTTTGCGTAACGGTGACAAGGTGACGAATCCGTTAATAATAAATATGACGTGAAAGTGATAACCATATCGGGAAAATTCATTCCATATCAGAAAATCACACATCCTTCAATATTTGCATACATTTCGCATTGCAGGAACGGGTTGTCATAGCAACCACTCACATTAAACAGAAGTTACGTATGTATGCATGCATACATACAAATGTCTCACTAACTAAACAATTCCGTTAACACGGACCAGCTCACATCCACTTTATACAAAAAAGCTTTCTCTATTTCAATCCCAGCTGGCTGGTTTTTACGTATTTAGTCAGCAGATTCATTCATAAGTTTGAACTTTATACAAAAAATAGCACATTTATTTGTAAACTTTATACAAAAATTGATGTGATACAAGAAATATTGGTACTTATTTCCCTACTGTGTTCATTCATAGATACGTTTAAGTTGTTTAAACAAGCAAAACTTTTGCATACAAATTTTGCAAATTAAAAAAACACACGTGTACAATATTGTGAAACATAGTTTTCTGGAAACATACATACACATGAATGTAGATTAATAATTTTTGTTACACAAATTTAAGTCACAAAAACTGCAAAATGTATTCGCAAAATCCTCAAGCGCAGAATTTTTACCAAATCAGAGCCACCTGTGCCCAATATGGGACGCTATTTGAGGACAACGAATTCCCACCGGTCAACCGGTCACTTTACGTTTCCGGGGCGGACAGACATCTCAGCCGCGTGGGGCCTGTCACGTGGAAACGGCCTTTCGTAAGTGATGCTAATTTGCATAATGGGTGTGATTATAAATAGATTCGTAAACTCGTGACCCTAAATAGCATGACTTGAGTCGCATTGCATGATTGCATGAATGATCTGCAAATAATTTACCAATTTATGTAAAAAATTTGGCACGACTTAACGCCAAATAATTTAATTTGCGGGTTTTTTAGGAGTTGTCCAACCAACCAAAATTTTACGCGGATGGCGTCTCTCGTCACGACGTGATTCAAGGCGAATTAGGAAATTGCTGGTATAAATAACATGGCTTGCGACAAATACATTTATGCATAGATAATTTGCATAACTATTTACATAATTAATTAATTATGCAAAAAATGTGGACAGGTTCATCGCCGCCGTCAGCAATCTTACCCTTCACCAAAATCTATTTGTTCAAGTCGTCCCACAAGACAACACTTTCGAACGGGGCCAGTACTGCGGAGCGTTCCATTTCCGGTATTAAAATCCTCGTGGCAAAATTTTTACCAATTTTTGTTCAGAAATCTCGCCAAGTTTTTCTTTTTAAATAATTCTAAAAATCTCGCGCGTCCAAACTTTACCAAATTTGTCTTCGTAAATTTCATCAGGGTCCTCTAAAAATTCTAAAAATCCCGTGTCAAAAGTTTTCAACTTTTTTGTTCGCAAATTTCGCCAGGTTATTTTATTTATAAAATTAAAAAGACGTGTCCAAACGTTACAATTTTTTCTTCACAAATTTCGTATTATAAAACTTCACGTGGTCGAACTTTACCAATCTTTTTCTTAAAAAACTAAAACCAAAATTGTGAAAATTTTCAGATTTTGGACTTTCGGACGCTGGGTCGAAATCGTAATTGATGACCGGCTCCCATGCAATTCTCGGGGTCAGTTGCTCTTCATGCAGTCGCAGGACAAGTCGGAATTCTGGTCGTGTTTGTTGGAAAAGGCGTACGCCAAATTTCACGGGTCGTACGAATCCCTCAGCGGCGGGATCGCGTCCGAAGCGATGCAAGATTTCAGCGGGGGGATTATTGAGATGATCGATATTCAGGAGACCCAGTGGAACAACGTGAACAATCAGTCGGAACTCTTTAGTGTGATGAGCAAGGCACAGGATCGCGCTTCGCTGATGACCTGCGCGCTACACGTGAGACAAAAATTTGCAAAAAAAAAATCCGAAAATGTTTTACTTGCCAAAATCATTAAAAAAAGGAAAATCAAAAATTCTAGAGTTTTCCATATCTCCAGAATTTCCATCAAGTAAAATTACAAGATTTCCTTTCAAAATTTTGACATAATCAGTTTGATAATTTTTTTAAACTGACCGGCTCTTAATTGTTTAATCGCCTAAATAATTTTCAAAGTTCCGCATTAATACAAATGTTTCTCAAAAATGCGAAACAGATCACAAAATTTGCGAAATTATTATTATCCCAACTTTTGAAGTTCGTAACTTTATGACGTAAAATAATATCGCAAACTCCAACACGATTTTAGAATTTTGAAAACCAAAATTTGTTAAAATTGCTTATACTAATTTCACTTTTGAACTTTGTAGATTAAAAGAATTTCCAAAAAATTAAAAAAAAATAAGTTTCCCAAAAATAATTAATTCTCTCTTCTTTTCCAGAATCAAGCCGGCCGGATCGGCGAAACCCGCACTGGCCAAGGTCTCGTTGCCGGGCACGCCTACTCGATCACGGGCGTATGCGAGGTGTCCGTCTATAACGGAGCGCAGATCGCGCAACTCGTCCGGATTCGAAACCCGTGGGGCGACTTTGAATGGAACGGGGCATGGAGCGACTCTTCCCGCGAGTGGAGCAGCGTCGACGCGGGAACCAAAGCCCGGCTCGGACTGGTCAAACGAAACGATGGCGAATTTTGGATGAACGTAGACGATTTCCAAGACCATTTTCACCGCCTCGAAATATGCCACTTGTCCCCCGATCCGGTCAACGATGTCAAACTGAGCAATCCCGCGCAGCAGAATTTCATCCCCTGGAAACGGATGGCGTTCGAGGGGGCCTGGATTCCCGGACAGTCGGCGGGCGGGTGCATGAATCACAGTAAGAAATAGGACAAGAGAAGTGCAGATGTTTGTAGCCCTATAATTTTTGCAAATTGTTTTTTTGCACAATTCGTCCAAAATGTTTGAACAGATTTTATTGATCATTCTAAATTTGCAAACATGATTTACATAGGTAGAATTTGCGTACGGATGCCATAAATATGACAATAGCATCTTAAACAAGAGATACTCAAATTCGCAATTGAATTTTCCAGCTGCATTTTTTTGTGAACTTCGTTTTTTTGCTAACGCTGCTAATTATGTCAACTCGTAATGAAAACCTCTAATGTTGTGATGCTTAATTTTGCAGTATTTTCGTAGTCCAAAACTTTTTGGTTTTGTGGTTATTTTGAATTTATCCACATTTAATTTCTGATTTTCTATTAATTTTCAAAAAGTTCTCATTAAAAAACCACGATGTAAATTGTTTTGCACTCAAATCTAAAATTTCAATATTTTTTTACCCCTTTTCAGACACGTTTGCGACCAATCCGCAATATTTTTTTGACTTTACGGCGTCGAGCGTGGACGGTTCTGCAGACAAATGCACGGTCGTGGTCAGCCTCATCCAGCAGACGGCTAGTCGTTCCTACACGAGGAAAGAAGGCTTAGGAAAATCCTGTATCGGATTCAGAATGTTTCGGGTAAATTAAATATAAAGTTTTTCAACATTTTGAAAAATGGTTAACAAAATTTTACAAAATTACGAAACCCCAGCGATTCGATGTAAAAAAAACTTTACTCAAAATGTTTAAATCATTTTGTAAAAACTTGTACATTTTACGAATTGAAAAATTTTATAAATTTTCCATATAAAAATATTTTTACATAATTCACGCAGTCCTTCGTAACTTTATAAAATCCGGTCGTTCTGTTAAAAAATTTGCAGGACAAACCCTTAGAAAATAAAAATATGCCCTTGATCTGTGTAAATTTAAAACAATTTGTAGACTAATTTTCCCTGAAAAAATTTCTAAAAGGTTACAAAGTTTAGCGTGAATTGACTTAAAATTGTATTTTTCATTTTTTTCAGATCCCACGCTACACCGGCCTCATGGACATGTCTTTTTTCAAACGGGAACGCTCCCTGAGTTCCGGTTCGTACATCAATTCTCGCGAAATATCGGCGCGCTTTGAAGTCGCGACGGGCACCTATGTCATCGTCCCCTCCACCTTCGAACCCAACATGGGCGGGAACTTCCTCCTCCGAATTTTTTCCGAACCACCCGCCCCGCAAATGGCGCCACAACAAGCCTACCCGCACCCTCAACAGCAACAATGGGGCGCGCCCCCGCAGGTTCAGTATGCGCATGCGCCACCCCAGGCTCCTTACGCTCCCCCGCCCTACGCCGCCGCACAATATCCACCCGCCCAACAAAACATGATGGGCGGCTACCCTCCCTCGTACGGCGTACCTCCAGCGCAACCACTCCCACCAACGGGACCACCACCCGGGGCGGGACCCGGATTCGGGTGGAACTTATAAAACGGGAATCAATTTCAATATTTAAAACTGGAAACTTAAAATAGATCGGGTTAAATTATGGGAAAAAAATTATTTAAAATGTGATTATAATTTATGTATTTATAACTTATTTTACTGGGAATCAATTTCGATATTCACAATCGAAATATTGAGACAAATATGGAGACAATCTGGTTGAGATATTATTTAATTGTAATTTATTCACTGACAAATTTTAAATCACGGTTTATTCCGAATATTAATAAAACAATGCTCCTTAGGCTTACTAAATACGTCACTACATACATACGTTTGTGTTCGTATGAAATTTATTTACATACCTTCGAAATTAAGAAATTTGCAAAAACCAAAGATTTACAAATTTATGTATTGGGTTATTCATACGGAAAGTAATCCCTTTGTGTGATGTCAAATAATTACAAAATACTGTTATTAATTAATTTCTAACTAATCCTGACACGTTCCATGAAGTCTAAAATATTTTCCTCTGATTTTTCTTCATTAAAAACTGGAGAAAAATCAGTACAAATGCCTAAATCATGAATCAACAGTGCTGGCAGAAGTTGGAAATCCAGGAAAATCCTATCATTAATAACCCCTCCCCCCCTTATCTCACAATGAAAATGTCCCCATATGCTCCCCGACCCCCCAAACTTTCGCCGCCCCTTTGAACCAAGTTAGTCTATCGGCACACTCACGTCAACTTTTTTATGTAAATATGTATGTACATATTTTGCCTTTATCACGTGGGTTTGCGAGACAAAAACATGGTAGGAATCAATTGCCATTACCAATCATGGCGGATATTTGCATGCATGGCCTTGATGTATTTCCCCATGAATTGGATTCATTCCAAAGGTAAATACGGCCGGTAGTATTTTACCTGCCGTCGATAAAATTGGTTTCATATTCTTGCAACATTGTGGCGCCGCGCGGACGAAAAATCATGCAAAATTGGCGCCGCAAAATTGGTCGGCGTCTACCTCTGATTCATTCGCCGGTTATCAAAGTTTTATTGCAATACAATTACAATTTATGCTTTATTAGGTCACCTTTTCTCACGGGGGGCCGATCCCCGTATATGTATTTACATATGTATATGTAAATTCATATTCTGCATGTGACCGAGAGCCTATAATTTTTTAAAGCAACCTGCATCCCAGCTAATATTCGGGATCCTTGGTCACCAGTATTTACAGGAATCTGCATCATAAAAATTTGTACATGTACAAATTTTTATGATGTATACTAAACTTTCGCCAATTAATAAATTATTATAATTTTTGCATATTTATTTAAATTATTGCACTTGTTCGTTTCTCATTATTTTATTTTCTGCAAGTTACTTTATTTTTTCATATCGCTCATTCCCACATGTTAAAACACATTAATAATTATAATAATTTGTACAAATATCAATTATATGCAGGGTTACACATACGCATGGAAATAATTGTATGTACTTTATTTAAGATAACATTACAAAAAAATATTAAAATTAGCGACGTACAAATAATTTGTAATTACAATTGTACAGTACAAATGTACAATTAATTGTGTGTAAATATATCTACAATTAAATTAAAATTATTACTAACCCTCCAAATTTCTGCCATTTTTTGAAATATGTAAATCCTAACAACAAATACCCGACTAATTATGTACATAATTATCTAAATTAATTGCTTGTCCACTACATAAAATGTACATAATTAGGCAAATAATTATGTAAAATATGTAAATACATATTTGTGTATTACACAAATATTATGAAGGTACGAATTAAATTCACACGTTGTGTTTTTGTACTTTTTGTCAAAACTGAACTGTAACTTTGAAACTTATTATTCAAAATAACTCTTCTGCCACCAGTGTTTGTCATGCATAATATTTAATTTGTAAAGTACAAAATGGCACTCTGTTTTCATACCATATGGGAGCATCTGTTCAGATAGTTGTTACATGCATAGTAATACAAAAAATTACTTATGATAAGGTCATTTCGAATAATAATGTGATAAGCACATGCGTGATTATCCAAGTTGAATAATTGGAACAACTCTGATTGCTTGTGGACCAGGCTTAAAAGCACTGGGATTATTGTTCCAAGCTAGAGAGGGACTATAAGGATAAGACGTGTATCAATTCCAGGTACTAATCGTTACTGGTGCAACATTAAGGAGACCTTGGACACAATCCCACCATCGAATCACTGGATCGTATGTAACGCTTTAATCAATAGCTTCCTCTTTTGACGATTCCCCATGGAAAAATCTTGTTTCTTGGACCAACTTAAAATTTGTAATAATTGATTTGTGTGATAATTGAGAATTTACACCTAACTCAATTTCAACTTTGATCTTCCTTCCTTCAATAGTACATTTATTCAAGGAAGTGAAACTAATATACTTATTTACATATGTATTTCTAAATTTCTGAGGTATACATAGATAAACCCCCAAAATTTGTTAAATGTCAAACTATGATTGTGTCGATAAATATAGTAAAATACATATTTTTTCATTTCTTAAAACTAATGCATTTGACTAAAACCTGTCCATTAACTTCCGGTTTGTAACTCTTCACTAACATCGTGACATTAACACTCGTATTAAACCTGGTAAAATATTTAACGTGATCCTCCCTGCAAATTACAATTATTCAGGGAGGACGATGTATGTATGAAAATAAATGCTATAAAACCAACAAACTGTGAGTAACTAAATATTGGCACCTGCCAACTTAAAAATCATGATAAAAAACATGGTTAAAAATACCTTATTCAAAAAAAACGAAAAAATTGTTTTCTTACCCCGTCTTTACGGTCTAGCACAATTAGCCCGTAATTAGATGTGAAAATTTACTTTAAATAAAAAAATTGACATAATTAAGAGGAATTAGGACGGATTAACATGACCAAGATAAAAGTTACATAGCGTCGTCGTCACTCCCGCTCAAGTAAATAAATATTGATACTTTCATGTGGAACCTTACTACAAAAATTGGCAAATTTTAACCCTTCGAAATGTCAATGTTTAATTGGATTTAACCTGGTTTGAGAATCTTACAATGATAAGCAAACCACTACATATTTTTATGTTGAAAATTTTCAATGAAATTACAATCTTTTCACTAAAAATATAATTTCTCCCCTTCCTAATAATTTGGCGTATGTATAATTTTTGGTATTCGTATACATAGCTCGCTCCGTTTTATAACTATTTAATGAGGCACGTGGCGCGCCTATAAAAGCGCTCATTTATAAGAGAAATACTCCCAATTTATGGGTAACCTTTGTTAAATTATTGTTTAACTGTATCAATTTATATTAAGTTATCTTTTCAAAAACATGAAATTTACCCTTATTCAGCTTCTTCACTTCGTAATATTTGCATTTTACCAGACAAATTAGGTTATATTTAATTACCACGTGGTTTTAACCATGCCTAATTTTTTAGAAGAGGATTATTTTTTCATGGAGATTTATTCTTATCGTTATCTTGGTGATTGTTAAAGCAAAACCTATAATTTTCATGACTACGGAATTATTTAGTTTTAATTGAATCTGAAAAATACCTTTTTTCAGAGTCAATTATAAAAACTAAAAATTGGAATATAACGAAAATATATCGCCCCGCGGGTGTAACGAATTTTAGTCTTTTAATCACAAATCGTCCTACTCCTAAACTACTCTGGGGGTGATTAAGTGAAAAGCTAAATGGGCACGTAATATTTGACTTATTTGCACAAAACGATAGAAAATGTGCGAACTAAATATGTATCCCTTACATTTAGCATACATGTATAATAACCTAGTTTTCGAAATTTTTAAAAAATTTGTTACTTTTCGGAAGCGAATCATTTCAAAACATAAACTTTACGACTTTCGTAAAAGAACTAACTAGTTTTTAAAAGTGGCGAATCTAATTAAAAAATGCTGCAATATTTTTTCAAATTTCACGTTTTCCAAGAATTATCAAGAAGCTTTTCAGGATTTTTAAAAGAAAGATAGATTTCTAAGTATGGTTTTTGTATCTTTTGTGGTGAATGTAAAATGTAATTGTGAATGAAATGTTGTATGTATGTGTAAATCCGCCACTAAATAAGCACACCTGGTGGATTTGCTAATTAACTGACTAAATTAACTAAGGTCTTATCTAATAAGTAGGAAACTTATCGGCTGCATTTTGTCCATTTTATCTTCTCTTTGTCATTCCCGGCAGCACATTCTTCTCCGCATTTTAATCTGGAATTTCTTTTGTAGAAATTATTTTAATCTGTAAATGCAAATTAAATGAATTATTATTCTCCCCAATTAACAAATCTTGCAATTAGCACGAAATTATTTAAAGGTTTAATTACTCACTTAATTAATTAGTGTTCCGTAACGGGATAAGGTGTCTAGGTGAATACATAGTCGAACTTGAATTCAATTTAATGATAACGGAATTGCAGATAAGCACTATTTAAGACAAAAAAATATTTACAAATTAGTAAACTCAATCATTATTTTTGAAAAGTCGCGTTAAGAAATGAAAACAAATTATTTTAGCTAAAAATTCAGCACCTTTTTGACGTCCATTTGTAATTTTACTTTATTTTCGAGTCCAAGATTTCTAACTTCTGCGTAACAAATAAAATAACAGATTAAAAGCTTAATTAATAACAAAAAATAGATTAAAATAATACAAATTTTCTACAAATTTCGACTCTTGGAATTCAAATTAAAACAAAATATGAAGTACTCTTGTTACAAGAGTCTTGTATTTAAAAAATATATACCTTTTTGACATCCCATTTTAATCCATTTCCGACTCCAAGCTTTCCCATTTACGCAATTTTGTACAAAAAGTGCCCCTTAATTAATAAAGAAATACGTTAAAACCACAATTTTTTTTTACAAATTTCGATCTTCTTAAATAAAAACGAAATAAAATATGAACAAAATCTTTTTAAAAAAAATTAATGTACGTACCATTAACTTCCAATTCTAACGGATTTAGGCTCCAATCCTGGCTTTCTCGATACTACAAAATTTTCACTTGCACGGACCTGAATTTATCAAAAGATACGAAAAATATTAAATAATTACTTACACATTATTATCCAGTGAAATGTGTCCGTTCAAATTGTGTATTAATTAATTATTGTGAATTAACTTCTTACCACGATTAATAACTTGAAACCAGGTTTTTCCACTATTCCGGAAGCCACCTTAATTGATAAGAAACACGTTAAAAGCACAATTTCCTCCTAATTCCGATTCCTCTTACATAAAAATGAAAAAAAAATACGAATTTCATATTAAAAAAATGAAGTACATACCATTTAATTCTAACCAATTGATTTCCATGCCTCGATACTTCACTAATTTTCACTTCCAACAACCTGAATTAACCAAGAAAAATACGAAAAGTATTAAATAATTATCCAGTAAAATTTATCCGTTAAACTTGTACTTATCATAAATCACTTCTTACCACCATTAATAACTTGAAACCAGATTTTTCCACTATGCCAGAAGCTACATTATGTCCAGTTCACCACCCCCACCCCCACTTTATCTCAAATTTCTAAAAAAACTACATTTTTTACCCAAAAAATAAGTCACGTCACGACAAAAGCAAGGTTGGAGTAAGAATGGCTGCCTTTTTATCTTTTATCCAGAACGAAATGTGAAAGGAAAGCCAACCGCGGAATTTTCCACTCTCGGCCAACATGGCAAGCACCAAAAGTTTATTGGCAGAGGGTCTTTGTTTCACTCCTACACGCGTAAACTTTGCATGGAAAATGTATGCAAACTTTGCATACGCATGAATCCTTCCAAGAAGGTAAAATATCTTGTGACAAAAATATATTTCCATTCTTATACAAAAATTGTGTATCATGCGATCCAAAATAACATGTCCTATGCACTCTAAAAACAATGCCGGACATATGTAGATGCAGTCTGAATTATAAATTAGGTAAAATATGTAAATTCAGAGTAATATTAACTTGACTTGATACATATGTACATAGTAAAGTTTAGCCTGGATTTGGTACAGTTTAAAATTTAGAATGTATTCACTTCTCAAAAGGGGAACAACATGATTTTTATGAGTGTGAACTCACTCAAAAAAAAGTCTCAGCGGAACTAACATTTTACAAATTTGATATGCAAAAAGGCTATTTTTTTTACTTTTCCCAAATATTTGGAAAATGCAAGGGCAAGATTTTGGTAAAGAAATCTTGACTACATTGGAACAAGTACATATTTACATATGGTACAAAATACAAAATTGTACAAATTTCCAAATTTATTTTTGGTGACATTCCTCAGCCACGAGTCTTTCTACGAAAAGGTTTAATTGAAAATATTTCTCCTGCATGAAATACGCCGACAAACAAATGATGGGGCACTTAGAAAGCTTAACATAAAATTAAAAATGTGATGAGAAAGGTAGGCATGCATGCATATTTTTACTTTTCGTAGTATTCAGGATAATTTTTACCAGAGTGTGCAAGGGCAAAAAGGCATGCCGTGCCTAAAATGCCTTTTTGCCTATTAGGCACGTGAATTTTGGCCATGCCCGATTGCCCGAAATGCCTTTTTGCCTTTTTGGTAAAATCGGGGCAATGTGATAATACGATCCCATGATTAGTTAGTTTTAATCTTTCACAATTCGCAATTCACTTTCACTTTCATAATTCACTATTAATCCGATTTGGATGATTGTCGACACCACTAAAAAAATTATGCACATCTTGAGGTGTACAATTTTTCACAAATACTCTAAATTATCATGACCATGACTGCGTATATAAGGAAGTAATGTTGTGGATTAATTGTGTAGAACTGTAAGGTTGGTAACATTTAGAACAACCGAAATGTAAAGCCAATTACATTGTTGTCACCCTTTTTTGTCCATAGAAAAATTTATAAAATGGTTCAGGCAATACCAAATAGAAACACACGCAAAAAAGCAAAAAGGCATCAAACGGGCAAAAAGGCACGCAAAACGGCAATTCGGCATTGAAACGGGCAAACCGGCAAAAAGGCATGAATTTTTTCCCAAAAAGGCGCCTTTTTGCATACTCTGATTTTTACGATATATTTCTGACCACCAAATGTATCCTGTGAAGAGGTGATCTTTGCCAAATCCTTATTGAAAAACTGGTTCTTTAGATCTGCAACTCTCACTATCTCCTTTTCGTAGTTGTGTTAGTGATCAATGATCACTATGTCAAAAAGGCAACTCTTATAATTCTTACAACTCTTACCACCCAATAACCGGTTAGACATATAAGTAGACTAAATAGGTATACGTATGGTATATAAGTAAGAACAAGAGTGACCATCGACAGCGAGTCGACTGCCTGTATCTTGATACGTGCAATAAAACCTGTCCTGACTTTGTCTCACCAAATCTCACCTTGCCTCCAAGACGCAATTTATTTCCATGTACAACAACGACGACGATCGTCTCATCTGCCTCACCACCACCATCAATCCAGTGAACCCCCCCCCCCATAATCGGAACTTCACATTGGTACCCACGGCGGCCTCTCCTTGTCAGAAGGAGAGAAGGACGCCGCACCCCCTCTCTCCACTCGCCCCATCTTCACAACTGCAGTGTGACGAAGTGTCACAAGGACAAAAACGCCCCATTCACTCTCTACCCCCCATCTTCACGACGCCTGTGTGATAGACTATCACCAAGGTAAGTAAAAAAAAAATTTCCATGACTTTCTAACCACCCCCTCCACACTCTCCCCCCTTCACCATTTTACACGATCCACCATTGGTCGGTACTCCGTCGATATTTTACAGAAAAAAAATTTTGAGTTCCCACCACCGACCATACGTCCACAATTCCCTAGAATCACGTACCTGTCAGAAATAAAAAGGACGGGGAGAAGTTTGGGGAACACTTCTTGCCCACAGGGGCCCCTACATTTCAAGTACACATAGAAGACTGTATGAATTTATTTCCCTTGACTGCGGAGACAGCAAGGACGAGGTTTTTCAGTCCTTTTTGCACCTAGTAGGCCACAGTAGCCATTGTTTCTCGCCATTAAGCGTATTTTTCTAATTATCGGTTCACGCTCCGAGGGGCGCCGATATATTTTGAAAATCATTTACCCTGTGACAGTAAGTCGTACGCACCCCGTTGTTCTCTCCAGCCGTTAGGACATCCTCCGTTTCATTTAGCGTGTTGGTAGTTATAGCTCTTTTTTCCCATACCTGACACACAGCACTTTGTAATAAGAGAGAGCGGCAGCTCGTTCAACTCGACCGCATTGAGGATAATTTCATTTCTCGACATCGATATTACACATCCCAAACCACTAACCCCACATCGGCCTCCCCGAATCCTCGTTCTCCTCCTACTTACCGGTTACCTATAACCACATACGATCCACATTTTCATCCGGCACGCCCACTAGACCAATATTTTTCGGCGGACGAGTCGGCCTTACATGTGAATTAACCCCAGCATCATCTCACACTGTTGGTCCTCATAATTTTGGTGCCACGTCGATTGGCCCATCTCTCCCATCAGCGAGGAACTTTCCAATTTCAACATCTCGACCCCAAATCGAGGTTGTTCCGCATACTTTTGGTGCCACGTCACTTGGCAAATCTCTCCAACCTGCCACCCCCTTTCTAATTTCAACATCTCGACCCCAAATCGAGGTTGTTCCGCATACTTTTGGTGCCACGTCACTTGGTCAATCTCTCCAACCTGCCACCCCCTTTCCAATTTCAACATCTCCACCTCAAAACGAGGTTGTTGCTCCTCACCACGATATCATTTTGAGTCCAAGACGTTCACCCCAACCAGAAACTGCTTCTCCTTCATCACCTCTCTCTTCTGACCCCGATAGCTAAAATCCAGTTTCGAGTGCAAACCAACTACCTGCAGCATCCATCCCTGCGACTTTTTATCTCAAAACTAGTATCTTGCCTCCCGCTACTTTCTATCCTCAACCAAACGCCAGCCCCCAACGTCTTCCATCAACCACCACACTCCACTCCAAACCGCATCTCAAACATCGTAGTCTACGAAACCTCCTGCACAACGACTCCGTGCCCATCAACCCCTCCTTATCCTTATTGGTACCACAACATCTTTTACTCTGCCCAAAACAACCTTCCGCTCCTCAACCACCACCATTTTTTCCTTTCATTATTGCATCACCCACTCTTTTCCAAATGGGGACAACTATCAACGACATCACCATCTCTCCAGGATGTTCACCCCCGACAGACACTAACTCTCCTCTTTCTTTCCCACAAGTCTGTCCTAATACGGAGTTGGAACCTTTACCAACCCCCGCGGCACCTCTCCCTGCTAACATTTTGTGCCACTTCACATTCTACCTTCCTTTCAACCTGTACCTCCACACCATACCAACGCATTCTATCGACCACCTTTCCCTCCCTCGCATATCTCGACCATTGATGGCGACTTCTGCGCCTGCCCACCACACATCTCTCACATCGACAATTTCACGGGGTGGCCCACACCCGCTACATCTTCTTCCTACGATGCAGCTTTCGCCCACCTCATTCAAGCCTTAAGGTTTACTTCCATTCAAGACTGTAATGCACACCCCCCATTCGTCAATCCCCGATCGACCAACGACCCGCACTTCGTCTCTCTCTTAGCCCAACAACTTCCTTCGCAATTACAACAAGGGAACAAGGGATTGGTACATCCGACATGAGGCCTCATGTAGTCTCTGCAGGTTCAGATTCTATTCATATGTTAGATGCACCTCGCCCTCGTTCCTCGGGTCAGCACATGACCTTCCCAGATTCCCCACCGACGGGTGGTTTTAGACACAATAACTACCAACAGCGCACCTCACAGGGTAACCGTAACCGTAACCGTAACCATAGGGGTAGATCTTCATATTCTATCAACCGTGGTGGCGGTTTCTCTACCCGCCAGAATGTACATAGCCAATTTCACATCCCAGCACCTTCGAATCACTGGCAATCCAGGAATACAGAATTCCGAGGCACACATCACATACAGGATGGTGACGGCCGTAATTTTGGTGGAGGTGGGAGAGTCCATTCTCGACGACGCTACAACCCCAATACTAACCGACCTCGTAGTGATAATCACTCGTTGTATTCTCCCCCTAACGCACACCCCCGCCAATCACGTTCTAACTTATTGCCTATACACACTAACTACAATCCAAATCGCTCCTTCTCACATATCCCAAATACCTGGCGACCAGATCTATTAACTCGACCTAATCTACCTACCAACCTCTCCCGACCACTTTCCAATTGTAACCCTCTACCTTCTTCACCCAGCCAACGCCTCGCCCCCACACCGCCGGTGGCAACATTCCTTTTCCTTCATGCCCCGATTGCGTCGCCTCACGACCCACGAATTTCTCTATCCCACATACTTTTAAAACGGGCAGAGTTTGACCAACCTCTGCCCCTCGGCAACGTTCTCAATTAGATTACCTTGTTACACTAGCTGTATTAATTATATACGTATCACGGCGAACCCAGGATGGTCCCCTTGACTATCCCCGTAATACAATAGTAATAAATAGTAATACTTACCGGTCACCCAGATAGCTGTATTAATTATATACGTATCACGTATATACGTATACACGTATACACGTATATACGTGTCACGGCGAACCTAGGATG